GTTACTGTTTAATTCACATTAGGCTTTTGAACATCTTTGTTCTGACAATATTATGTACAATATTCAGATCTGCTCCTGTACAAAAGAGTCAAGGCCCATAGCAGCTGGGGACTCTACATGTCTTTAATCTCTAAATTATGGAATTGAGACTATTTGTGCCAGAAAGTAAGTCTCCCTTTGTCTGGAATAGCTGTTTTGAACGCAAAGGGGAAAAAATGCATCTTGAGCCTATGTCAAATGCCCACCATGGCCACGCCCACCCCAACCACGCCCACCCGGCCCTCCAAGGTCAAACACAACCCTGATGTGGCCCTCAATGAAATCGAGTTTGACACCCCTGGTTTAAGGGATCAGGACGATCTACATTCCTTCTTTTGCATACAGGTTAATAGCAGAGAAGAATAAAGATCATACTGAATATCTTAATAATTGCTTCATGCCTTCCAGAGATTCAGGTGTGAAAGTATGGATTTAAAGTTGGCTTGATGGATTCTGTTTAAAGGCAAATCCCTGATTACTTTACAAAGGTAAAGCAGGGAAGCTGTGTAAAGCGTGAGGATTTTGGGTGGGAAAAGGAAGAATTTGAATAGCAGAAGGCAAACAAGATCTTGTATTGATGCCTAATTGGACAAAGGAAGTGAACACATGGCATAGGTTCTAAGACAGAGTTTCCCTGCTTGGCAACTTGGAGTGTAGATTGCTAGACTTGGTAAGTGCTATTCATTTTATCCGGTCCTGGTTTTTTTTTTTTTAGTGTATGGTTTTATGGTGGAATTGGATGTATTTCTTCTAAATCAAGGGTGAGCAATTATGGTCCCTTTACGACTTGTGGATTTCAACTCCCAGAATTCCCGAGGTAGCATGGTTGGCTCAGGAATTCTGGGAGTTGAAGTCCACAGGTCATAAAGGGGTCATAGTTGCCCATCCTGTTTTACATAAATATGTGCATTTTTGTTTGTTTTTACCTGAATTTAAGCCGCCCACCTTCAATGTTTGGGATTGCCTATAAATAGCCTTTAGTTGAATAGCCTTTTCAGTTTAAAACAATATGTTTGTGCTCTTTTCTTTTCTCTGGCTACACTACATAAGACTTGCAATTTTCCTACCGCTTAATTTACCATCACTGGTTTCCACATCCAGATGATTGAGCCCTTTCAACTTTGCTCCACTATTGCAATATCTTAATGGCTTAGATCTTGAATTCATTATATTGCCTCTTATTTCATCTCTATTGTGTGTGCTAGTGTTTGTGACTATCTACTTGCGGTTAGAAGTTTACATGTCAAATCTTCTCATTAACAACCTGGGCTGGTGATGGGTTTTTTTCCCTTCAATTCATGTGGTTTATTTCTGTAGCTCAGCCAATTTAAATGCATGCCTTGACTCTCAATTGCTCTTTTTTTGGCCTTTTTTCATTGTGGTTTTTCATCATCTGTACAATATTTCAACTAACAGTTTTATTATGGGAAGTAATGGTATGTGGATATATGCTTGGCAAATACTGAAAATGCAGCTAATGTATCTTGGGAGCTGTTGTAGATTACAGACTCACCATATAACCGGTGTCGACTTAGATTGCCTTTAGTTACATTATACAATGTTCCTCAATGAACAAGTAAGTGTTTTGTTGCTGTGTAAGCACGTCGGCTCACTCCTATGTATTTTGTAGCATATCAGAAATGTATTTGGTTCTTTGATTCTTACGTTGTGCCAAAAACATATTGGTGCATCTGGGTACTATTCGTTCCATCTGAGCATGCATGCTTATTTCATAGAGTAGACATGTTGGAATGTCCCACATCAATCTTCATTTATATGTATAAAATAATGATTTATTCTTCTTGGAGGAAAAATTACTCCTTTTTTACTGTTAATTCTTTGATATCTCTTTAATTTCCTATTCTGAAAACCTGATTTTGTGCCAGCTGATTTTTATCATCTTAACAGACGCTTCGCTTATTTCCACCAGTTTCTTTTCAATGATTTGGTCATTTGGAAGTAACTGCTATTCTAGACTTTTTCTAATGTTCTTTTCTACTTAAGATAGCCAAATATAACTGGACAGCTACAAAAACAAGCCTCTTGTCGTGTGACCAATTAAAGCCAATTCATACTGTATTTTTCAGGACTCCCTTGAACTGATCTTGTCTTCTAAGAAAGAAGGGGCATGTTCAGATAGTTTTCTTGGCACAATACAAAAGTGGTTTGCCATTGGCTTCCTCTGTGATCACTTTCCAGTTGTCAACAAATCCAATATCGACTCACAACTTTCCAATTTAGCTTGCATCTTGGGATTTCATTACGGTGGCGCAGTGGTTAGAATGCAGTATTGCAGGCTACTTCTGCTGACTGCCGGCAGAAGAAGTTTGGCAGTTTCACTCTCACAGGCTCAAGGTTGACTCAGCCTTCCATCCTTCCGAGGTTGGTAAAATGAGAACTCAGATTGTTGGGGGCAATATGCGGACTCTGTAAACCACATAGAGAGAGCTGTAAAGCACTGTGAAGTGATATATAAATCTAAGTGCTATTGCTATTGCTATTGCTATTCAGGAAACTAAGTACAAATTTAGAAGCAAAACCTCCTCCTTCTTCTCCAATGAGATCTAAGATTGTTGACTAAACAGTGCCACCTCTGTGGCTACATATTTGAAATATATCAAGTGTACACTATGGAATGCTGTCCTAGGCACAATAATGGTTTGAAAACCTTGCAATAGGTCCCATGCTCACAGGGAAGACATGTTGGTTGAATGAAGTTGAATTCGGGGCAGCTGCTGTGAACTACAAACACAATAAACAAAGCACCTACCATATCAGTTATCCAGGTAGCTCTTCTTAGTTACCCAGCAAGCTCTTCTCTTCTTCAATATATTCCACCAGAATACAGTTGTTGGTAAAGAACAGAGCAAGTGAATAAACAAGCTAAAACACAGTCTAAAAATTTGTAACTTTTTTGTAGTGTCTCTATTGCCTAATAATCTGAATTGGGGAAAGGATGGGTGTGATTCAGTGGGACAAAGTGATGTCTCATATAAACCTTCAAAAAAGATCTGTATAATATGTTGCATAGTTGCAAAACTTTTTGTGTTGTATTTAGACATCCCCAGGGGTAGCTCTGATATGGACAGTTTGAAATCCTGGGACTGAAATTATCTAGAACTATATCAAGTAATTACAAATTTGCAGATTTTTAAGATCTTTAATAAGAAATAAGGCAAAGTAATTAGAAGTGGAACTGGTTATGTCTGATATTTCTTTTTATCTTATTATATATCTTATTTTCATTATAGCAATGTAAAAATTGGCAATTATGCAGTTAATAGCAGGTTTCGTGTCTTCTAAGAGAAAATTCATGTGGAGATATGGGACCTTCCTGGAAATCTATTTATTAGGGCCAGTAAAAATAGACCTACTATCTCTGTAAAATGTACAATGTAATAATTAATGTGAAATGTTTTTTCTTTGTCACTACACAGGCAGGTGCGCTTGATTTAATGGGATTGTAGAGTATCTGCCTTGCAATGTGAGTTGTAAGCTAATTGTGCCTGGCTTTAAAGAATGCAGTTCTCAGACTGGCGAAAATAAGGTTCTGAAAATATTTTGTTTGTTCCCAAACGCTCTGATTTATCCAATTTCTGCCATGGAGAGTCAGCTTGTTAATTTGTTAATGCCATATATTGTATTTCTTGGGTGAGCAGTTACTTAGCTTCCTAGGGCAGGGGTCAGCAACCCACAGCTCTGGAGTGCATGCGACTCTTTCATCCCTCTGCTGCCACTCCGTGTCACTCAAAATATGTGTCACAACCACACCCACAGGTACGCGATTTATTGAGCTTTTCGACTCCCGGTAGGCCAAGCATGGATAAATCCAAGAAAAGAAAGTTTCAGAAGTAAAACAGAATGTTAAATTCAAACACATATGCTAATTTTGTGGCCGCTCAAGAAATAATCAGGCACGGGAAGGGTTTTGTGGCTCCCGGTGTTTTCTTTTCTTCGGGAAATGGGTCCAAATGGCTCTTTGAGTGTTTAAAATTGCTGACCCCTGTCCTAGAGAGTTTAGGAATGGTGTAGAAAATTCATATAGTGCTAACTCCTGCTGTACAGCCTGTTGCTTGGAGAAGCGAAATTATCTGTGAAAATTAAAGGGGTCAGTCCAGCTGAAAAAAACCTGGTTTTGCAACCAGGAGTTTATCCCTATCTTCCAGGCCCTTACCTGGATTTTGGACATCCCTCTCTCAACTTTTAATTGGACATTTGAAGTTCCATTTGGTGTAGTGAGATTTCAAAAAATATGTTTGCATTACTTCTAGCACATTTTTGTATAAATTCTTACTTCTGCGCTGCAGTGGATTTGGCTTCAGAGTTTGGTGCCATGGGGATTTCTACACCTTCATCTGTGTAACAAAAAAATGTTTAATACATTTGAGGATCTTAGGACTAACTGCACTACGTGATCGGAATTCCAGATGTCTGTCTTTGATACCCTGAAATATTTAAAAAGCAGCAGCCTGCTCTATTTGTATCCTTCTGCTTTCCAGAGCAAAATTCTTGGCAAAAACCACTAGAATTGTTAGTTTGGTTTGGTGAGCAATTTGGAAATTTGATTGATAAATAAATAGATAGATAGATGATTGATAAATAGATAGATGATAGATAGATAGATAGATAGATAGATAGATAGATAGAGATAGAGAGATAGAGAGAGAGAGAGAGAGAGAGAGAGAGAGAGAGACAGACAGACAGACAGGATAGATTAGATAGATAGATGATAGATAGATAGATAGATAGATAGATAGATAGATAGATAGATAAAATAGATAAATAGATGACAGATAGATAGATAGATTTCTCTATTTTCATTCAAACCCCCATGTTAGCAGTTCCTTTTTCAGCAAATGAATACTACAATTTTGAAAAGTTGATGTTTCAGTGGACGCAGAAAGAATGCATCAGAATAATTGTTTACTTGCGTGTTTGTGTGTTTTTTACATTTTTTTAAGAAAAGAAAGTGCCAAACAGACCTTTCAGAACACGCTTCCGTTCATCATCTGGCAGGTCGTCCATTCAGTGGAGACCATCCCATTCGGCAAACTCAAGCCCGCGGAGATACCCAGGTTATCGTCATGGATATGGGGAGAGCAACAGGAAACTGAGTTTTAAATCTCTGCCAAAAGAAGAAAGAGCCCATTATGCTAAAAAAATAGGTGTGTGTCTATGTGAAAGATTTTGACCATCTGCTTGCTGTTCTTACTGTTATGTTGTTTTGTATTGAAAAAATCATTTTATATCTTCTCCTTGATAATGCGTTTGTAATTTCATTCACCTGAACAAATGATTATATCTACTACAATCAATATTATGATCAATAACAAATGATTATATCATTTGTTATCAATCATAAAATCGATTGTAATGGTTCTAAACTGCAAAGGACAAAGTTAAGCCAAATTTCTTCCCTGGCCACCAAGCAATAAAATTAACAATGTTATGTTATAAAAAAGAGAAAATATGATGGGGCACTTAGAAAGGAAGGCACATACATTGCTAATAAAAGACTTGATTAAAATTGCAGTGACTTGAAAGAAGAGGTATTTTTGCAGTGTTACAACTAAGTGAAACATTTGCAATCCAAGTTTATTTAACTTCTAACTTACATCCATCAGAAATAAATATTGGCATATATTGCTAACTATTTATTAAATGCATTAATTAGTTGGGGGTAGACGGCACTCATATCATAAAAATGTAAATAAATGAAGCTTCAGGTTGAGGCTTTTTTTTTCTTTTCTTTTTTAAGTTTTAACTGGAGCTTCACCTCAGAATGCTGTCCCTAAAAATGATATGTGAGGATTTGACATTGTTTTACTCTTACCATGGAGACCCCTGGCCATAATAGCTGACAAAATTGGTACTAGTGCCTGGTCTGACTGCAGTTTTTGTCAAGGGCAATCAATTTTTTTTAAAAATTTTTAAATGTTTAATTGGTTTGTGGTTTTTTAAATTTTGGGCCAAATTTATATAGATTTTAATTGTTTTTAATATTTGTATTTCATGTTTTTAATTCTGGCTGTGCACCGCCCTGAGTCCTCAGGGAGAAGGGCGGTATATAAATTGAAAATAAATAAAAAATAAATAAAAAATAAAAAATTACAATTCTTTGAAACAGAGGCTTTCATCCATAAGGGGCCAAGCACTGTTGACATTTAATCTTTGCAGTAATAAAAATATTAAAATAGTGTATATGTTTCTTGTTATGTGCAGCATCTGAATCAGTATATCTGGTTTCACCACATTCGAGGAACTTCCAAGGTCGGACTCAACCGGTACATCAGGTTGTATTAACCAAGAGGAAAGTCCCAGGTAAGTTTGGAAATCAGTGTGCAAACTGGAAAGTCTTTTTTTTTGTTGTTGTTGTTAGTTGCAAAATCATGTCCGACCCATCGCGACCCCATGGACAATGTTCCTCCAGGCTTTCCTGTCCTCTACCATCCTTTGGTGTCCATTTAAGATCACACCTACTGCTTCAGTGACTCCATCCTGCCACCTCATTCTCTGTCGTCCCATTCTTCTTTTGCCCTCAATCTTTCCTAGAATTAGGCTCTTCTCCAGTGAGTCCTTCCTTCTCATTAGGTGGACAAAGTATTTGAGTTTTATCTTCACAATCTGGCCTTCTAAAGAGCAGTCAGGGTTGATCTCCTCTATGACTGACCGGTTTGATCGCCTTGCAGTCCAAGGGACTCGCAGGAGTCTTCTCCAGCACCATAGTTCAAAGACCTCAATTGTTTGGCGCTCAGCCTTTCTTATGGTCCAACTTTCACAGCCATTGGCAAGTCATATTATTGTATAATGATTTCCTTTTTTTTTTTTTTTGCTAGAAAGTGAAACTCAAGTTAACACAAGGGAAGACAATCTAGTGACCTTGGAATATATTGGAATAATGACTCTCAAGAAATTATCTGTGTTGCAGCCTCAGTTCCTCTGGAAGCATCAATTAGGACAATTGCTATTCAGAAGTTGGAAGTGGTAGATACTAGAGGCAAAGGATGGCTTTGTTCACTTTAAGTGAAAAAAAAATCTTTTGTCTGCAGAAATTTTGTAGCTTGTTTAAGCCTTCAAAGCAGTGGTGAAATCTAAAATTTGTTCTGTGGGCATGGCTTGGTGAGGGGGTAATGTGACTGGGTGGGCATGGCCATTTTTTTTTTACTTTTAAAACCATTTTTTCTACAACCTCTTTGGTGAAGAGGTTATAAAAAAATGCTTTCAAAAGGCTCTGACGATCCCAGTTGAGTTGCCTGATTGGCAGAGGCTTTTTTTTCTTTTAAAAGCCTCTGCCAATCAGGTAACTCAGCTTGGATCGTCAGAGGCATTTAAAAGAAAAAAACCTCTGCCGATCAGGCAACTCAGCTTGGATCGTCGGAGGCATTTAAAAGAAGAAAAGGCTTTTTTTCTTTTAAAAGCCTCTCCCAATCAGGTAACTCAGCTTGGATCGTCAGAGGCATTTAAAAGAAAAAAAGCCTCTGCCGATCAGGCAACTCAGCTTGGATCATCGGAGGCATTTAAAAGAAAAAAAGGCTTTTTTTCTTTTAAAAGCCTCTGCCGATCAGGTAACTCAGCTTGGATCGTCAGAGGCATTTAAAAGAAAAAAAGCCTCTTGCCGATCAGGCAACTCAGCTTGGATCGTCGGAGGCATTTAAAAGAAAAAAAGGGTTTTTTTCTTTTAAAAGCCTTTGATGATCCCAGCTGAGCCGCACAATCATCAGAGCTTTTTTTTTTTTACTTTTAAAAGCATTTTTTTGGCCGAAGAGGTTGTAGAAAAAATGCTTTTAAAAATTAAAAAAAAAAGCCTCTGATGATTGTGCAGCTCAGCTTTGCATGGGGGGAGGGGGGCCAGGGATTTTTGCTACCGGTTCTCCGAACCAACCGCCTCCATCGCTACCAGATCGGGCGATCCGGTCCAAATCGGGAGCATTTCACCCCTGCTTCAAAGTCTCTTATAAACAGCTTTGATAGTTAATGCAGGTGCTGTCTGGTTATACTGACTATTTTTTACTCTTTTTTTTTTTTTTGCTTTTATCTCATATTGTTATATAGTAAATCATCCGGAGGCTTTTGTAGAATACTTTGCTGAATAAACAAATAAATGTGTAAATAAATAAACGTTTTTCTTAGAATCAGTTAAATGCTGCCACAGCAATTTTTGGTGGTTTTAGAAAAATGGGAGGGAATTTGATATTTTTCTACTCTTGAAAGTTAAGGAGGAGGAGAAAAGCCAATTCAAACTCTATTTTTTTACATGTTGGATTCTTAGCCAATAGTCAGAATGCTGACTCTTTGTCTAGAGGAATTTGGAACTAATCTCTATCCCAGTGACTATGTAAGCTTCTCTCTTCTTAAAATCAACTTCCATATTCATGTCCCAAACACTCATAAATCCCGTTGTCTCATTTCAGAGGAAGATGAACTGGAAGAAACGAAAGATATTGCTGTTCGAGTCATGTCCTCTCACTCAGTGCTGGTCACATGGACAGATCCCTCCAGTGAAAAGCAGAAAAGACCCATATCCTCTAGGTACTAGGCATTATCTGGGCTCTTTACATAGGCTTGCGATAGGAATGCCAATTCTAGCTTGTTGCTTGCAGCTTTGGAAATCTAGCATGGCTGGACAATACTTTAAGGAAAAACAAATCTGACTGATTTGTTGCCCCTTAACCACAGAGCCAATATGACTTTACAGTCCTAATGTCATGTCCAATATACCTACAGTAATTGGGTGTGTAAACTCCATTGTGAAGTTTTTGGCAATTGTCTTAAACTGGAAGTATTTCTTCCATGCAATGATTCTTGTGAAGCATTCTTTAACAAGATTTGTTGAGTTTAAAGGGGTAGGCTTGCAAGAATTTCAGCAAGTCAACAGTATCTAATTTGAAATCATTATCTTTTTTAAAAAATATTTTTCTTTATACATTTTTCTTTAACATATATAAGTATTTAATAAACAGTGTATTGTCTGGGTTATTTTACATATACATAATAATAGTAATAATAATAATATTCTTTACTTGTACATAATAGTATTCTTCCAACTTCCAATGTCTACTTTTACTATTGGTAGAACAAATCCCAAGTATAAAAGTATTTTGTGTCTTCTTTATCCTTTATCTTTAATGTTAACCTATTCATTTCTACATAATCTAATTTTTTTTAATTACATTTTCGTCTGAAGGAGTTTCCTCATTTTTCTAATGTTGTGCAAATACAATTTTTGCTACCATCAAAACATGCAATATTAAATATATATTCCCTTTAAAATATTTTTGTCTGGCAAAATACCTGACAAAAATATTTCTGGCTTTAAATCTATATGTTGCTTTATCATTTTCTCTAACCATGTATGTATTTTCGTCCAAACTTTTTTTGCCTTTGGGCAAGTCCACCACATATAGTACGAATTCGATATCTAGGCTAGCAAAGATGTTTAAAAACATGTCCGCCAAATGTTGGAAATGAAATCATTATCTTCTAGTACAGGGGTCTCCAATCTTGGCAACTGTAAGACTTGTGAACTTCAACTCCCAGATTTCGCTGGCTGAGGAACTCAGAGAGTTGAAGTCCACAAGTCTTAAAATAGACCTGTTCTAGTATATTAAGTTGCAGTCATGTAGACTCTCTTAGTTTATCTTTAACTACTTACTATGAACTTGTGAACAGAGTTTTTTTCACTAACGGAAAAATCTGCAGTTGACTGCTTACAAAGGCATCTCTTGCTGGATGGCTGTAATGTGAGAGGTTCAATAGTCATTAAATTGAGTTTCATTCTGAGATTATTCACATCCTGAATATTCAGACCAAGGGTTGCTATCCGAAGTATTTGCCAAGTTCTTCAAAGGTTGGGTGCATTGTGTATGTAAAGCTGTGATATTTGAACCCTTGCTATTGTGCTTTGTTTTTAATGATTCTGGTTAATCCTGCATTCTTCTGTCACATTATTTCTAGGCAGTACACTGTCCGTTACAGAGAGAAAGGGGAATCGGCAAGGTGGGATTACAAACAAGTATCCAACAAGCGGGTCTTGGTGGACAAACTAATTCCAGACACTATGTATGAATTTGCAGTTAAAATCTCACAAGGAGAAAAGGAGGGCAAGTGGAGTGTTTCAGTTTACCAAAGAACCCCAGAAACTGGTATGTATTAAGTATTAATCAAAATTGTGCCTGTAAATCTTTTCTGGAATAGTTAAGGTTCCTGTCCAAAAAACAAATAAAATCATCATGTTAAGGTACTTTTCTTAGCAACAATATGAACATGATTTGCCATTACTTCTCCCAGGATGGGCTTCTACTTTCTCAGTCTGGCGTACAAGCTCAGCCTCTGCTTAGCCTCTGTTTTAAGATCAACCAAAGTTGGCTAAGAGGTGCTACCTAGTTGGGCAAAGCAGGCATATGCTTTACATGATGTCAGCTTGCTTTTAATTTTCTCCATCTTTAACCAATAGAGCTGCTCCAGTAATTTCTCCATGAAAATAGCTCTCTGGGGCCTTTCATTGGCTATCCGGTCTGTCCTATCCACAAAGCAGCACTATACTGACATGCATGGATGGCTTTAGAACACCTCTGAATTGTTTATACTATACTGTAAAAGGGTGGCATGGAAAGCAAGCAGTAAAATAAATGGGAGTCCACCATCCATATTGCTTCTTTCAGAGTCCCCAGCATTTTGCAAATGGTGGGCATGTTTGGAAATTGAAGGACATGGATTGTGGATGTTGTAAACAACCACCAGAGGGATGCTTGCTGTCTCAGTGAATACCTGCTACATGTTTATAATCTTGCTGCAGAGCCTCATTTAATCAGAATGCTGTTTGCCACCCATCAGCCCCAGTCCATCAGAAAGTCCGCTAGTCTTTAACTAGTGTCCTATTCCTGGCATGAGGGCACATTTCCAAATAAAAGCAGTAGGTTGCAGCCATCCATCACTTTTGTTTTCTAAGAAAAGTTGTGTGCTCTCTTCAGAGTCCAGAGGAATTACTGGAAATAAAAAATTCTGAGGCAAATATTTAGGAATGAAGCATCCCTGTGTCATATGAAGAAAGATGTGAGGCAGGAAGCCTATTGGACATTAAAGGAAGTGTTTATTTATGAGTCTTTCTCTCTCTCTCTTTTTCCACTCTCTCTTTCTGTCTCTCTCTCTCTCTCTCTCTCTCTCTCTTTCTCCCTCTCCCCTCCCCTTCTCCTCCCTTCCTTTCCCCCCTCCCCCCTCGTCCTTGTCCTCCCTCTCCTACTCATGACTGCTATTTATTTTACAGCTCCTGCTAGTGCTCCAGAAAACCTCAATGTGTGGTCAATTAAAGGCAAAACTCCTACTGTTGTGGCTACCTGGGATGCCCTTGCAGAAAGTGAAGGAAAAGTCAAAGGTAAATGGGGGAAATAAATCAGAATAAATTAGAGAACTTTATGGGCAGATTTTATTGAGCAAAAAACAAAAAAAAAAAGATTGCAAAACAGAAAACTACAGGCACAGTCCTGATCTAAATCAGCAAATTGAACAGTGCATTGCCATCAAATGCATCTGATTCAGAAGCTTCTCCCTTTTTCAAAAGCTTCTCCCTTTTTTAGGGGGGTGCTAAAAACCTGAAACAATATTAGCCATTCACACAGTTGTTGGGGGAGATTCATATGCCAGAAAGCAAAAGACAATGGTTTTATTTTGAGCTCTGGTATCTATAATCTAGGTCAGGATGAGACCATCAGCTTTAGGATTGCAATCCTGAACACCCTGTCCCTCTACAACTCAAGTGTCAGCATGCTAAAAATGAAAAACTTCATGGCATGCCACCAACAAACTGATGTAACCTCCCCCACCCCCAGGAAATAACCACTTCCACCCCAGGACACAGCCCTAAGCACAATGGCACAACAATGGAAAGCCAGGACTGCAGCTGGTTGTGGAGTTTATGGCCCACAACACAAAGCAAAAAGGAGAAGTTGCAGTCACTTTGTGTTCAACCACTACAGTGAGGAGATGCAGGGTTAGCAAAGAGCCAACTTCCCATTCTAGGCATGGAGACACACCTTCAGAATTAGGTGACTGTGAGAAAGAGGGCAAGACAACCAAGTTGAAATGCAAGAAAAATGGGGAAAATTTTTTCATTCATTTCTTTCTTTATTCATTCATTGATTCATTCAGAATCTGGGTGGGGATTTCCTTTTAGAGTTTTCAAGATTATAATTTTAAATTCAGACTTGCATTTCTGAAATCCATGTGGCTCTTGCTTCTTTAGTTTGCCAGTTGTATGGGGCTTGAGCCAATCCTTAGGAAGGACCCGCAGTGCCTAGCCAAGATCAGCAAGTTGCTGGCCCACCTGCCCAGGTGAGGTTCCCTGCACAACTCTGGCCCGCTCCTTCCTTTTAATATCAACTGATATTAAAATTACATCGAGCTCAAGTACTACAACTAGCTAGCAACAGAATTGTTTCATTCTGTAATCAGAAACTCTTTCCGGGTTTTAACATCATTCACATTTTTAGGTATAAAAATGAGAAGCCAATTATAGAATGTTCTATGTCCTGTTCAATTTTCATGTGCAATCTGTTCTTTGATTGTTTGTAACTTAGGTGTTGGCTTTGTAAAAGCCATAAAAGGATGCACAAAATTATTTATAAATTATAAATTACGTTTATAATTTAAAAATAATATCTAATTCAATAAAGGCAAGCTGTTGCTAATAGGTATCAATATTATATTCTGTTAGCTGCAAAATTAGCTCTTTTCATATTGCAAGATCAACATGAGAAATAAACAGAAGGCAATCTTTAATATGGAAAGGGGAAACTGTCATTTTAAGAAAGTTATAAGACAAAAATAAATAATGCATAAATATAAGGTGCATATTCATTAGTCTTATTATGATATTGATGGATTGAGAATGGTAATTCCATGGCTTGAAGTTTTATTCGAATAGTTAATTAATGTTGCTCTCTTGCTGTTCAAGTTTCCTAAGATTTTCTTCATATGAATTCTGAACGATAAAACTACAGGCTATAGGGAAATATTACATGGATGAATATTTTTTTCCCATACAGAGGGAAAAGATTCTGCCTGATGAATAAAGAACTGTGAATGAAAACCAATCTCCCTTATAGTTTCTTCTTTCTAGTGTTCCAAATGCAATTTTTTTCTTAATAAACTTAATAAACTTGAAAAGTCATTCAGTCATGCTGTATTATAAATTTGTGAAAACAAGTTCACTTAGCATTGTTTATTTCACAAAACCATTAGGAATGCTAATGCCAGGCTCTTGTGCAATCAGGAATGCAAAGGGAAGAGCACTTTTCTAATGAGGTAACACAAATCAAGCCTTAGAAAGTATCCTAGATGTCACCACTGGTGGCACAATCCTTGTGCATCTTTAGTCAACATGAAGGTGTCGTCTTTGTTTCGGTTTTAGTTAGTTTCATTCATTTTGTATATGCAATAATCTTTTCATGCTTAAAATAGCAGTGGCAGTATCATTTCTAAAGCACTGGGCAAGTGAATATGTTCATTTTAGTGTATGTTCATCTTATATTGATATATACAGTAGTAGCCAAAATTGTGGAAATCTTTTGGGAAAAGTGTATTTTTGAGGTTTGATGGCTTATAACACCACTTTTTTTTTTTTTTGAGTTTCAAGATAATCATATTCCACTGCTGGAATGGCCTGGGAATAGCCCAGACCTTAACCCAATTGAAAATCTATGGAGTCAACTAAAGAAACTTGTTAGTCAGAAGCGACCCAGCAATAAACCCCAGTTAATAGAAGCAATCATTCAATCTTGGTTTCACATTATAACAGCTGCAGAACTAAAAGACTTGGTTCACTCCATGGGAAGATGTTGTAAGGCCGGAATTCATGCTAAAGGTTACCCAACTAAGTATTAACTGACATGGTGATAATTTTTGTATATCTCGTTTGTTCTATTTGTTTCACTTTTCTTCTTTATACTGTAACTGCTATTCTAATAGCAAATCCTTCATAAAAGTTATTGCATTACATTCTTGATTACAATTATCTTTCCATTGATATATAATTTTATGGTACTACTCCCCCCAAAAAAGTGGTGTTATTAGCTAGCTTTAGAAAATGCACTTTTCCCAAAAGGTTTCCACAATTTTAGCCACTACTGTATAGTACATACAGATAGTTGTCGACTTATGATCACAATTAAGCCCAAAATTTATGTTGCTAAGTGAGAAATTTGTTGAGTGAGTTTTGTCCCATTATACGACTTTTCTTGCCATACATGTTAAGTGAATTGTTGCAGTTGTTAAGTTAGTACACCGGTTATTAAGTGAATCTGGCTTTTCCATTGAAGGTTGCAAAAAGGGATCACATAACCCCAAGACACTGCAACCGTCATAAATATGAATCAATCACCAAGCATTTGAATGTAAATCACATGACCGCAGCAATGCTGCAACAGTCATTAATGTGAAAAATGGTCATAAATTACTTTTTTCAGTGCCACTGTAACTTTGAAATGTCCCTAAATGAACTATTGTAAGTCGAGGACTACCTGTATAGGATAGTATCAATTATAATGCACTAAGTGAGTGAATCTGATCATCTTGTTAATCTGAACAAGTTCCTTCTTTCTAAAGCCAGGCATCGGAATTTCATGTTAATGTGTGCCACTATGTATGTACGTGTATATGTATGTGTATCAGTGATGGGTTGCCCCCGGTTTGCACCAGTTCTATAGAACCAGTAGTAAAACAGGCGGGAGGCTCCACCCACCGACCCCGGCGTCATCAGAATGCATCACTGATGACCCCGATGTCATCAGTGGCCCCGTTGTGAACCGGTAGTAAAGGTAAGTAGAACCCACCCCCGATGTGTATATATGTACACACACATATTCACACACTTGATACATTCTTAGTACACACACAGTGTTCATTTTGTACTAATATATTCAGAACAGATTCACTTGCCCAGGACATTAGAATTGACCACAACTGCTATCTATATATAATGCAATATCTTTTATACCCCAGTTTTTGACTTGACGTGCATTGCCAGTGTATTAATTTTAGTAATGCACGTTCTAATTCATCCTACCCATACAGTCTTTCCGCTGGAAACAGGATTGTTTTCAGTTTCCTCCTTCCAACCGTCTGCCAAATTGTTTCAGAATACATTCTCTCATACGCTCCGGCACTCAAACCTTTCGGCGCAAAGTCCATTTCCTACCCGGGAGACACCACATCTGCTTCAGTGGAGGGTCTGCAGCCTGGAGAGCGCTATATTTTCAAAATCCGTGCTGGAAACAGGAGAGGCCAAGGCCCTCAGTCGAAAGCCTTCAGTGTCGCCCTGCCAGCAAGTAAGTACAGTGCCTCCATTGTTCACACCCTTCTTGTTTCCTTTTTAAATTTATCACGTCTCGATAATTTTGGAACAATCCCTGCTCCTTTCCAGATGATTGAATAGTTTGAGGAGTAGGCGTAGGAAATCATCTAAGTCAGATATGGCTCTTAAATCTCTGTAGCCCCCTCTCCCACTAATTTCAGACCCCTTTGTTGGCCTTGGAGGTTTTTAAAAGGGAGACAGGTAAATGAGGTGATAAAAAGAGGAAGAGTGAAAGCAGCGAAGTGGCCTATACAATCAGAGGGGTGCTGCTAATATTTAAGAGCTGATTGCTGGCTGGAGCAACCATGCTGCTCCATAGGACATCTGACTGATGTATTAGGCATTGAGGCTCATCTCTGCTGCCAACTGGCTCAAAAGATTTTTTTTTAAAAAAATTAATAATTGGCTCTCCCAAGTCAGCTCCTGTACACCCTTACTAATGCCTTGCCCACTACTGGCTTCAACTGTATCTCTTTTTACTAGGAGGTAACTGTACCTCCAGCACATACTCTCTGAAGAAATGTTTTTTTGTTTTTTTTTGACAGAGCAAAACTTTCTCATGCAGGCTCATTCAGCCCTTAGTTGGATGGATCCTAAAACATATCCTTTTAGGCATCAGATTCTGCAGGGATTTTCAGTTAGATTTCAGAGCCTAGATGGTGGCAGAGGTTGGGCATATTCCATTGGTTAATCCAATTAAACTATCTTTGTACCATTTCCATCTTGCCCTGGGTAATTAAAATATAGAATGACTGTCACAATCAGAATGTTCAGAAACAAATTTATGTCATCAAAATGTTTTCCTTTGTTTCCTGATTCCAATGTTTGACTATATTCTCTAAATTAATATCTGAGAGTTATATTTGAAACTGATTGATATTTTTACTTTGATAGTGACCATATTGCGTGGTGTTTAACGTCAGGTATAATTTCTAAAAGGACAGCTGATGGCATTTAGTTTGTCCCAATGCTGAGTAACTGACATTTCCCCCCTCCCTTACTCTTCTCAAGAATAAAAAAAGTAATAAAGTCTAAAAGTCTTTAAAAATTGACGTTAAGCTAAATTTTCATGTTCAAAACACATATTTTAAAATATTTAATTAATATTCATATCAGCTTTTAATTTTAATATTTTACCATAATTATTATTTTAAAAACTATCTTGTGATAATTACAATGCAATATGTTATTTCTTTCTTTTTCTTTCTTCCTTCCTTCTCTTTCTTTCTCTTTCTCTCTTTTTCTTTTCTTTCTTTTCTTTTCTAAAATAATTTTTTATTTTTTTGTTCACTTCTCTCTTGTCTCTTTGTTTAGCCAATACAGATGAACTGAAGACAAATCAACAAACAAATATTGAAGAAGATCCAGTTTCTGATCCCAAGAATAAAGTTTTAGACAGTTCAAAGAAAGAAGCAGAGCTGAAAATGGCTTCTCATTCTACAGAAGACATGGTTGATTCTGTCAAGGCAATATCAACAATGCAACCCAAAGTTCAGAATGTTAAAGGGAGTGCTAAGTCCCATTCCACCATTAAAACTGCACATACTTTCACATCCTCAGATAAAGCACTTCACAGGACACGCACATTAGTAAGGGCACGGCAAACAAATACTGATAAGCCATCTTCTTCCATTCCCAAACATACAGAGGATGAAACAAAGAATCTAGGACAGGACAGACCTAACTTCTCTCCTGTCCCTAAAGCTACTTTAGATAATTTGCCAATAGATAATGAAAATAACAACCAACTAGACAATCTGGAGGATAAGCCAACAATGTTTCCTGGAGTTCCAGAAGAGAGTCATTCAGTTTTACTTTCAAATAAGCAACTGTCTGAATCTCAGAAAACAATTCATAATAGACCCACCAAATTGCGTGTTCCTTCTATATCAATTAAATCTCCTTCACCAATGGCAGCTGCAAAGTCTCAAAATCATTCACATCACTTCTCTTACAAACTAATTACGCCTGATACCAGTGATAGTCCTGATAGCGATAAGAGCAGAGGAACAGAAAAAAGAGAGCAGAAATTAAATTCCAGGGCATCTTCTCCTCAGGGAGGTTCATCTCCATCTGTGCAAACAAAGCCTCTCACATATGCTAATCGCCATGCATTGAGAGATCCAAAAATAACTACCTCTGCTGTTTCTGCTGCTGCTACCCATACTTTACCTCATTCACATGTTTTATCTTCTGATAAACATAAGTCCAAGGGAAGAGAGAATTCTGATGATAGTGAAAATGAAAAGAGTGAAAAAGAAGGCAATGAAGAAGACAAACAAGGCTCATCATATTCTAGACCAAATTTTAGGCCCTCTTCAGGTCTGGCAACGTCGGAACGCTTTGATTTATTAAAATATAGATCTGTTATTACTTCTAACAGATTTGCAAATAGAGCTACTAATAATCATGATGCAAGAATGCAAGCACCCAAAGATCCTTCTGCTACACAGTCTTCCAAAGTTCATCCTCAATTTAGTTCTCGTTTAGCATCTGGCAGTAGTAGTCTTAGGTCTAATTTCAATATCAATAAAAAACAGGGAAGTAAAAATGAAAATCCTCTACCATCCACTCCTCTCCGTAGTTACTCACCACCCATTTCTAAGCAGTCTTCTTCAGTAGATGATTTCAAAAGGAAATTTGTGGCTGAAACTAAGAGTCACCACAGAGTTACGCCTACTAACAAACCTAATCTTGTAAACCCCCAAGAAAATAACCATAATCAAGAAAAAGGAACCACAGATACATATTCCTCAAGAGTATCTACAGAAAAATCATTTCCTCTACATTCTCCTACTTCCTGGTCTCAACTTGATGACCTCAAGATCAAGACTACATCTCCTAGGACAAAACAAACACCATCTTTGTCAAAGAAACCAAGCACTGCTTTATCCCGTAAAATGGCAGAATCCATTCGTTCCTCAAAAGCATTAACTGATTGGGCACAAATCCGATCCTCCTTAAACTCAAGAAGTGATCTGACATCGCTTTCAAAGAATGACAAAGAACTTACTGATAATGACAGTTCAGAAGACAAGGAAACAAATGTTAAAGAGGAACAAAGAGGATCTCTTTTAACACCTGCCAAAGAAGTTCCCATATCTAGAAGAATACCTACATCTTTGTCTCAGGGAAGAACTCGCTCTCTTTCAAAGCATTTTAATTCTCGGTTTGATAGAACTGATGAAAGATCTCCAACTCAGTTGTTACCAGAAAAACAAGCTGGGTCAAGGGATATAACTTCTACTGAAGTTACCTCTGATATGTATAAATTGCCTTCATCTTCCCAAAGATCTAAATATGTACAGCCAATATCTACCTCTTCTAAAGACACAATCAGAGATTATCAATACAGTAGAGAAACTTCTTTGAAACAAACTCGCCTTTCAGAGCCCCATTATCCATCTGGGTCTAGAATTTCAAGTAGGATAGCATCCCAAATAAACAAAAAGCATGGACTTTTCCAACCAACCCCTACAAAACTGCCCTCCTCAAAAATACATCAGTCGGTTTCAAATAATGATGATGATTATGAAGACTATGACCAATCAGATGTAGACAAAGATCCTATTTTGTCTTCATCAGCCAAGACTTCACAAATTTCTAACAAACTGAAATCCTTGCCGAAATTAAACTTGACTTTGCCACACATATCTGAATCTGTGTCTTCTCATAGTCGCTTGACTTCCAGTGTTTCTCCAACACATCCCTCAACTTCTCCCTCAGTGCCTCCTGTTCAACGAATACAGAACTCAAGATTATTAAATCCTTCTCAACGACATCAGTTTCGATTTCCTCATAGACAAGGTGAGATAAAATTCATAACTTTCTATTTAAATCGAAAGAGAAAAGTTTTACCTTTGGGCTGTAAGAATCTCATTAGAGGAAACTAGTTTGTTTTGGAGCCATTCTCTTAGTTTCGTGTCATAAAGATTTGGCAATCCTTTTGAACATATGCACAGTTCTTCCCACAGATATCACGGAACTGGTCTTTCACTGAAAATCATTTTGTCATCCTCTCTCACTAAGAAAGCCATATTTTTGTCTAGGAATCAATAATCATATTAGATAGTCTTGATTCCTGATAGATGGGTGTTTCTTATGTTTTTTAGATGTTTCATATGCTAGGTTAATTAAAGAAACTTATTTATTAGAAAGCACATAAGTTTTATGTATTTAGGTAGTATACAGAATTGTAAAGCAAAGCAAAATACAAATACAATGTTTAAATGAAGACTAAAATAGTAGTGGCGATATGAAACATGCAAACACACTTTGTACAGACACATTTATTAACCCAATATGATTAGATAACCTAAGTTATGCAGTGTACTGTATGTATACCTGAAAGACACATTTATGCATAAATACCATTTATGAAGGGTATTTTGTCAAGTTGAAAAGATTTGAATTGTAATTTTGTCTCCAAATGTTCGAATGCTGTATGTTTTCACCATGTGTGTTTTTCAGGTAACAGTGGGAGACCCAACCTGAAGACAAAAACAGATCCAAATAATAAAATAGTTCCAAATAATAATGGAAAACGAAATGGACAAAAAATAATAAGTGGTCCACAAGGAGTAAAGTGGGTAGGCAGATCTTTTAAAATATCTGAAATATTTAATTTTATGTTCCTTTGAGTTGGAGGACATTTCAATCAACATACTGCTTTTAGATTGTAGATCTTGATCGAGGGTTGGTGCTGAATGCCGAAGGGAGATTTCTCCAAGACTCCCAAGGAAAACCTCTCAGAGTAAAATTAGGCGGAGATGGCCGCACTGTTGTTGGTACGTTGTATTCTGATGTTCTACGGTATGATTAAGGCTTATTTTGTCCAATAAACTTCCCAAAGAATTCTACAATGTGATAAAACCTGAAAGTAAATAAATTATTGGTTTTCTAACTTGATTTATATACCTGCCCATCTCACTTTTATGTGGCTCTAGGCAGCTTACAATAAAACAACTGAGAATGTGAAATACAGGGAATCCTTGGTTCATACAGTGACTATTCAAAGTTACAACGACACTGAAAAAGTTACTTGTGACTGTTTTTCACATGACTATTGGAACATCCCTACAGTCATGTGATCACAATTCAGATGCTTGGCAACCGAGTCATATTTATGATGGTTGCAATGTCCCTGGGTTATGTGATCACCTGTTGCAACCTCCCGACAAGCAAAGTCAATGGGGAAGCCAGATTCACTTAACAACCATGTTACTAACTTAACAACTGCAGGGATTCACTTAACAATTGTGGCAAGAAAAGTTGCAAAATGGAGCAAAATCCACTTAACTATCTTGCTTAGCAACAGAAATTTTGGGCTCAGTGGTGGTCACAAGTCGAGGACTACCTGTAATTGAGAATCAAAATAAAAACACATAGCAACTGGGCATGATCTAATTCATCATCCATACAACCAGGTGATGGGCTCTAACTCGTGCCCAGGGATCCTGGCTCAAGCATAAAACCAGGTTTTCACAGCCTTTAGATTGGATGGAGCCAATCTAAACTTAGGGGCAATGGGGACAACAGCAGAAAAGGCTCTCCTTCTGGGCTCTGCCAGCTGTCACTCTCTAGCTGATGGCACCTCTTCCTACCAGGGGTGAAATCTACTTACCTTCCTTACTGGTTCAGAAGTGCATGTGCGCATCACATGCGTGCGCAGACCTTCTGCGCATGTGCAAAAACACATTATTTCCTGGTTAAAACCAGGAAGTAATGACACTCGGGTGGGTGGGCGGAGCTTTGCTCCTCCATCGCTACTGGATCACTGAACCAACGGCCAAGAACCTACTGGACCGGGCGATCTGGTCCGATCCGGGAGCATTTCACCCTGCTTCCTACCAGATTGGATAAGACAGGTAGAAACAATCATGGAGTAAGATAGCTCTGTAAATAACCTAGTCCTAAGTTGTAAAGACTTTAATGGTGGCAATCATTAATTTGAATCGTACCTGGAAGCATACTGGAAGCCAAGGCAACTCCTAGAACTAGAGATTACTCACATTATTCAGATAACATACCTAAAACAAGGCAAAGCGATCTGATCATATGAGCCTTTTTTTTTCACTTCTCAATAAAACTCATCTATCAAGCAAAATGTACATCAGGAAGCCATCAAAAGATTTTAAAATGTGCTTCTCTGTTTACTGCTCTTTGGATGTCAGTTCATTGTTGGCTGAAATGGAGCCTCTACACCCAAAATAAATGATTTGGGTAAAATGTGTCACTGTCTTGAAGTAGCGTTCCTTGTGATATGTACCACTTGCCTTTTTGTAGTTTGGTAACACAGCTTGGTCTCTTGACAACAGCTGCTGCATTTAATTGAGCAACAGTGGTAGCCTCAACAGTCTGCTGTTTCTCACAAAATTAAATAAGATTGAGAGGACTGGTGATGGCTGCTGTGTGTCTTACAAAAGGCATTTTGATCTAAATGAATAATTGCCGCATCAATCTTTTTATTAAAAGGTTTGTTCACCATATGGAAAATAATAATTGAAGCAGAAGAATCAGTAGTTCTGTTGGGCTTCCTGGAAGAAGTCAGTATATTAGGAAGGGGTGCTAAGGATATTAGGAGGGGGTGCTGAGCCGCAATGGCGCAGTGGTTAGAGTGCAGTACTGCAGGCTATTTCTGCTGACTGCCGGCTGCCAGAAGTTTGATTCTCACCAGCTGAAGGTTGACTCAGGCTTCCATCCTTCCGAGGTGGGTAAAATGAGGACCCAGATTGTTGGGGGCGAGAAGGCTGTAAAGCACTGTAAAGCGGTATATAAATCTAAGTGCTATTGCTATCTAAAGATTTTGTATGCAGGCAATTCTCGACTTACAACATTTTGTTTATTGACCATTCAAAGTTACAATGGCAGTGAAAAATGTGACTTATGACCGTTTTTCACAGTTATGACCTTTGCAGCATCCCCATGATCATGTAATCAAAATCCAGATGCTTGGCAACTGAGTCATATATATGACCTTGGGCTGTATCCCAAGGTCATGTGATCCCCTTTTACGACTTTCTGACAAGCAAAGTCGATGGAGAAACCAGGTTCACTTATCAACTAGGTTACTAACATGTCAACTGCAGGGATTCCCTTAACAACTATGGCAAGAAAGGTCATAAAATGGGGCAAAACTCACTTAACAAATGTCTCACTTGACAACAGAAATTTTGGGCTCAATTGTGGTCATAAGTTGAGGACTACCTGTAGTATGTTTTACAGAATGGAACTACAGCCCTGAGAATGATTATTTAAATGTTCAATAGTTCCTGCATCTTAAATTGCATGTGTCTGATTTTCTAGACAATGCTCTCACTTAAATCCAGTACTTCCCAATTCCTAATATCATACGGCAGTGGTTGAAGTACAATTCCTTCTTCTTGTCTTCTGATAGATTCTAAAGGAGCTCCAGTAGTAAGTCCAGATGGCTTACCTTTGTTTGGACATGGAAGATTTAGCAAACCTGTAGCAAATGCACAGGATAAGCCAATAATAAGTCTTGGAGGTAAGCCATTGATAGGCCTTGAAATGGTTAAAAAAACCACCACTCCTTATACCACAACAACTACAACAACTCCTGAACCTACGACGACTCCCGAACCTACAACTACAATTAGTACAACTACTCCTGAACCTACAACCACTGTGCCACCAACAGAGAAACCACGACCTACCTGTCCTCCAGGCACCCACACAGAGAACGATGAACAGGGGAATTTTGTATTAGACTCGGATGGTCTGCCTGAATGCTACTCAGAAGGTACCCTCTCTTATGTTGGCTAAACATCAGCAATATCTTTGAGTATATCTACAACAAAAGTTGTGACATGGGGGAAAGGTGCTTGCTTTCCAGCAAGGCTTTCCAGCTACTGGGCTAACAAAGCAGGTAAGATTCAAGCTATCAAAAGCTTGAATTAGTAGTTGAGGAAGAAGAAATAATTCCCTGTTCTCTCACATCGGTTGCAATGACAAATTGTTGAGCTGTGTAAACCAGCAAAAGGGGGAAATAAGACCAAATTTTTTAAAACATGCTTTAGGTATGTTTATGCAGATAGAGAGTTTTTAAGCAAAAGTTAAAGGAGAAAGACATTAACTATACAAAACAATTTATTTTCAAGTTGGGCTCCTGTTCTGTGATTAAGCTTGTATCACCTCAGCACTGAGGGTATGTGTATGTGTATGTTGCATATAATAATCTCTCTCAAACCTGACTGCTCTTCTATTAATATAATCACTGTCTTAACTCTCATATACATTGATCATACAGAAGTCACTTAAAATTCTTCTGTCAGTCCCTGTAATGTATAGTATCACTTCCCACACTGACATGGCATCAGTATAATCAATTGTTTATCAAGGGTAAGTTCTGTGCTGTGTATCCTTAATTAAATGTTAAGGAAAATGCTTCAGATTTTAGAAGAAGGGAAAGATTTTCTTCATCATTTTCAGACACAGAGAATTTTTTTTCCTCTCTTCAGTTTTGAATGCCCACTTAGTTTGCTTTTTATCCAGAAACCATCTGACTCCCTGCTAGCTCCTTTTTTGGGTAGGATTTCACTCCTCATGAAGGAGCAGGACAGCAATCTGATGGTTCTGGACCTGCATAGAACAGCTAGTGAAACCCAACTTTTTTAGATTTTGCCCAACTTCAACTAGTTTGCCAATTAAAAACATTCTTGGAGCAAATTTCATTTAAATTGTTTTAGATTTACTGTATATCCACCTTTATTATTTTTATAAATAACCCAAGGTAACAAGCCAGTGGTGAAATTCTATTTTTTTTTACTACCGATTCTGTGGGCGTGGCTTGGTGGGCATGGTGTGGCTTGGTGGACGTGACAGGGGAAGGATACTGCAAAATCCCCATTCCCCCCCAACTCCTGGGGGGAAGGATATTGCAAAATCTCTATTCCCACCCCACTCTGGGGCCAGTCAGAGGTGGTATTTGCGGGTTCTCCAAACTACTCAAAATTTCCACTACTGGTTCTCCGAACTACTCAAAAATTCTGCTATTGGTTCTCTAGAACCTGTCAGAACTTGCTGGATTTCACCCCTGTAACAAACATACCTAATACTCTTTCCTCCTCTTATTTTCCTCTGTTGAGTGGGTTGGGTTGAGAGAGACTAATTGCCCCAAAGTCATGCAACTGGCTTTCATGCCTAATGCATGAAAGAGACTGACTTTCGTGTCTTGACGACACTGCTTGAATTGTGATCATGTGCAATAGTCTTACCTTTGACTCCTCAGAAACTCCTGTTGGAGCAGAATGTAATGCAAGAACCATTTCACCAGGTAACACTGATACTGAGTAGGTTGCCAATATGTTTCCAGTGTGCTAGTTCTGACATATAAAGCTCTTATGCCTTGGATCCTTATGACCTCAGGATTATCTTCCCCAAGTGGACACTAAACTGTGTGTGTAAACTAAGAAGCTGTGTTGAAGATTTCTACCCTCATCCCACAGGCCCTTCTCTTGCCTTAGGGAGAGTTTATACCAGTGGTGAAATCTAAAAGTTGTTACTACCGGTTCTGTGGGTGTGGCTTGGTGGTGGGGGGTAATGTGACTGGGTGGGCGTGGCCAAATTTTTTTTTACTTTTAAAACCATTTTTTACATGTAAAACCATGTAAAAAATGCTTTCAAAAGGCTCTGACGATCCCAGCTGAGTTGCCTGATCATCAGAGGGCTTTTTAAAACCCCTCTGCCAATCAGGCAACTCAGCTGGGATCATCAGAGCTTGGATCGTCAGAGCCATTTAAAAGAAAAAACTTTTTTTCTTTTAAATGGCTCTGACGATCCAAGCTGAATTGCCTGATTGGCAGGCAACTCAGCTGGGATCGTCAGAGCTTGGATCATCAGAGCTTGGCTCATCAGAGGCATTTAAAAGAAAAAAAGCCTCTGATGATCTCGTGGCTCAGCTGGGCATGGGGGGCGGGGGCAGGGATTTTTGCTACCGGTTCTCCGAACTGCCCGCCGCCATCGCTACCTACTCGCCCGAGCCGGTCCAAACCGGGAGATTTCACCCCTGGTTTATACTCTGGGCCCAGGATAGCCCCCTTTCTGTTGATTTCCGAGAAGGCAGAATGGACCTTTGTGGTGTAGAACGCAAAGTATTGGGCCAGCTGCATTTATTTATGGATGGTTTTATTGGTTGGTTTTATTGAATGTGTTAAGATTTGATATGTAAAATGCCCAGAGTCTTTCATTGGAGCAGCATATACTGTAAGTGCTGTAGAGAGAGAAAAAAGTGATAAGTAAATGCTATAAGTAAATAAATATAACATCATGAAATGGTTACTTACATTTAGCAGGGTGATAAACTATTTCCAGACCTTACCTACAAAATTGCCTCTAAGTGTGGGATCTGGAATCCTTTAAAGGCAACACAGAAGAAACTAGAGTCAAAGGACCAAGCAATTGACCATGATTTTGAAGGATAAACCAAAACTGCAAAGTGAAAGCAAGAGATGGCCAAAGTTTTCTTATCTCCAAAATGGTATTAGGTAAGTCAGCTATATTTATATGTTTTATTTTATTTTTTTCTGAATGGCATTACTTATTGTTTTTTGTACTACTGACCAAACCCTGTGGGGTTAGTTGCAAATTCTAACAACCTACCCAGTATAATCTATGACAAAGTTTACTAGAAACTGGAGATTAGCAACATCTGCCATGGACTTTGCTGTTCCTAGAAACTGCCCCTCTGTGCTGCACTGAAAATTGTTTTGAAAGTTGCCTTCCAATTCTACATGCAACATAATGCAATCCTCTTCCATGCAACACTATTTAAGTTATGAGTATGTAATTTGCTCTGCTAAAATATGCAACAGGAACAAAGAATGACCATTATTATTAGAAGGGCATTATAGCAGTAATGATCATAGGAAGAAAGTGCTAATTCAGCTTTCCCAGCGTGATGTGCTGGTCTACAAATCCTAAGTGTGGCCATAGATCAACACATCTAAGAAGAACCAATTTGGTGGTAGCTTTTCTAAACCTAACTGGGTGAGTAAGAGAAAATAATGAACTTACATCTAGTAAAAGTTTAAAAACAAAAAACAGCGAGCCACAAATAATTCTTTAGCTCTTAGAAATCGTCATCATTTGAAATGGAGTTTTTCAATCAAGAACACAAACCCATATCTAGTTTTTGTAAAAAAAAATGCTGAAAACTTTCTGAAAAAATTATATGCTTACTCTTTCTGAAGAGAAATTTCTGAAAAGTTATATGCTTACTCTTATGAAAAGGCATTGGCAGAGATTTCCAGTGTTCATGACAGAGAATAGATTCCTTTTAAACTGTGGACATCCTCATGTTATGAGTATAAACAATAATTAAAAGTGACTTTTAGAAAATTATGGATATAAAGAACCTACAGATTTTATTCTCTCATGATATCTTGAATTTACGTATCAATATCTGTCTGTCTTGAATGAAGGAAAATATACATGTCCCAGGGTACTGTTGCAGGACCCAATCTGGATTGGTCACCTCTGGTCCCGGTGAATGACCCAGATTGGATCCTGCAATATCTGTCTGTCTTTCTACCTATCTGCCATGAGCGTTGTTGATCTGGAGCATATTTTATATTTTATGAGATGTTACAGTGGCTAAAATAGAACAGGGACCACAGGGGGTAGAATGCTGACATGGGGCATGATGTGTATGCTGCAATTCATCTACCATATTTCCATCAGCTGTCCTGACAGAAGTCTATAGTGGCAGCTTTTATATGATTATAATGATCATAATGTGCCATGTCAGCTTAAGTTGCCAGTGATTTAAGAGGAGTCTACTATGTAGATTGTCTTGAATTCTTAGAAGAAAGGTTGAATAGATATTGTCAACAATAGCAGTACAGTAATAATAAGGGATGGTTCACAAAGAAAAAAACTAGTCTTACACTGATATTAGACTTGAAAAAGTCAGTGTAGTATACTTGAACATTTCATGACTCATAGGTTAAAACTTCTAGGATTGGGCAGTACATACGTATTCTAACTTAAGAAAAAGAATAAAAAGGGGTTTGTCTGTAGATGTAGATGTAGAGAGAATAAATGAGAACACAGATGTCAGTGGAATTCTCTCTGTAATAGAAATTATTTGTGTATCTATGCAGAGATGTTTGTTTTGGTGATGCATATGCAGAGATCTGCCTAAATCATATTTTGAAATGCAATCTCTCTATCTCTCATCTTTCCAGCTACCACTTCTCCAACAGCCCTAATGTTGCTCTTTACATGCTGTCATTCATGGTTGAAAGCACAGCTGTTCAAGAACCAGTCTGGAATATACAAAACCTGACTCTGTTCAAAAGACCAGGATTTCAAGAGCTTTGGGTTTGCCAACCATTCAGATGGACATGCCGACAGGCCAGATACTGAGTGAATTATTTTTGCTACTTACTTTGCTACTTTGCTACTTTTTGCTACTTACCGACCAAGCATCTGGGCAGCTCTCGTTGAATGTGATGAGCATCTTCTGAATGCCGGCTAGTTGGCAGAAGCAGTGGCCAATGTGTTGCAAGAATGTTACTTCTTCCTTGTGTGATGCTGGAAGATAGAAGATAACAGCCCCGCCAAATATAATCAATATAATCTTCCAGCGGCCCTTCCAGAAAGTTCTCCGAGGATGGAAAAATGCAGCAGTATTTTGGGTCAAGCACTTTGTCATTTCTCAGGAATCCGAACAATTGACGGCTTCCAAATGGACTCAGGAAAATGTGTTGTGAAAAGAATGCTGCTGTGGGTTTCACTCAAATCCTTTGGTCCAATTTTCTCCTTGGGGTTTTATAAAAATGAGTTTAGCAGAGACGGTTATGTTTCACAGACAAGGAACATTTGGGAAGCCCAAATGATGCGGCAGTGAAATCCCAGACGGTTCAACATCTTTGAAGAACTATCGACAACATTAAATCCACTTTTATCCACTTTTAACATGCTATCATGTTACTGGAAAATCATGTTATTGGAAAATAGAGGCCCGTAAACACGAACAGTAATGAGCGTATTAAGGAACCAGTACTTTATAGACCGCATTCTTTTTTTTTTTTTAAAGTTTAGTAAAGGAAGCATTCTCTTGAACTAGCTGTACTCAGAATTCACGAGACTGTGAACGACCCTTTAGGTTACCTTTTATGATTAGATGATCCTTTTTGATCCTTTCCACATGTTGAGTTCAGTCTATGAAGAGATCTAGGAAGAAAGATGAAGTGGGTAATATATGCCAAAGAAGAATTATTGGCAACTCAGCTCTAGAACAATGATTGGTCAATTTTGTTTTGCCCCTTCCAGGATTTGCTTTGGCATGGCTCCTAAAATTGTATTTTTCTTTTTAAGTCTGAAAGTGACCCAAGATGAAGATCTTAGGCTTAGAAATGAGGTTCAGGCTGTGTTGCAACTGATGTTGAATAATCGAAGTGGACTAGTTTGGATTTACCAGCTTCCACATCGTAATATCTTCTAGTGGTGTTGGACAACATTTCCCTTCATCCTTTGCCAGTATGCTCATTGATCTTAGCCACCACATTGGAGAATATCAAATTGAAGATGACTGCCTTAACAATGATTCTGATTCATGTGAATTTTTTCTAGCAGTAGATTGTTGTTTGGGTGGCAATGAGTATCTTATATAGAGCTTTAACAGTGTAATATAGTAGTTACTCCAGACAGATACGATATATGTTTCTAGGTCTGTATATGCCATCTTTTGTCTCATTGTGCTGCTTGATGATCAATATCTGTAGCTTAATGTTTTGAAATAGATTTCTGATAAATGTGTTCAATTATGCAAAAAAAATAATCTAAACTTTCTTTCTGTAGACTGATTGAGAGAATGCAGAAAAGAGTTATTCAGGCAAGAGCTGTGGGTGCTTCTTAACAATCAATAATTAATTGTGGAACATCTTTCCATCCCTCTATTTATTAAATTCCTATAAGTGAGTAGCTGATGCTGATTCCTATGGGAAAACAGATATATTGCAGTGAGGGCAAAAGTCAACAAAATGTAAACAAAATGTGTCTTCCCCACCCAAGTTTTCACTACCATATTGGCATCTAGTTAAATGAAAGGTGATATTGTGGCAAAAATGATGCATCTAAATTTATCTCCACAAATTCCACCTTGTTCTTTATCCTTCCAAAGCAGTTCAGCATAGAGATCCATTTGTTGTTTGATCAGTACTTTACAATAAAAGCCACTGGCTTTAGATAGGGATAATCAATAGCCATTGAATGAAAGAGAATCTGTTTCACTGTTTGAATGTATTCTTTTTTCCATAGATGTATTCTCAGGGTTTGATGCAGATATAACAGGAACTACAGAATCGTATGTGGTTTATGATGAAGGTACTGGTTACTTGAATCCTTTTCCAAAATGGGTTTTACCTTTCTTGTTTGCGTCTAGAAATGCATTTCCAGAAAGATATAATGCGTTTCTAAGAACCCACTGGTAGCCTAGACAGAACTCCAATCTAAATATGTCTAAACAGGAAAACTGACTTCCAAATTCTGATTTTAGTGTCTCCAGGCCAAACAAAAATTAGCAGGTCTGCAGGCAGCATGACTTTCTACATAAACATAAACTTGACAGACAGATTTGTGTGTTTAAACAAAGTTTTAAATGACATTTGTTCCAACCATGTAGAAACAGGATGGAGTAAGCATATTTTAATAGCTGGAGTGGCGGGGGGGAGGGGGGTACTGATTGAGGGTTAGCTCATTCATTGCTTTCTAAGACCTAATTTTTATTCATGCTCATTTTTTTTATATTAAGCTTGGATAATGCTATTAGCTTAATGGAGAAAATAAGTAAACAAAAAATTACAGACCAGAAGGAGTTTCTTAATCTTGTCTTAAATGGACGTTTTGTCATTGAAATTTGGCATGAAGTTTTTTTTTATTATTTTACATAACAAGGCAAAACAGGTAAAAATAATCAAGAGCAGATATCCCAGAGATCTGTTTTGCTCCTGTTAATAATATTGATCATATTTTTGTGTCTTGTTCTTCCAGAGGTTGTGCCCTCTGGAAAAAATATCACAATGCTGCTTTCCTTCACCAATGGCTATCAGATTGGCCAAGGACACTTTTTGTTGTGTTTCTTTTATTCCTTGGACCATTCAGGCGAGAAATTTAAAGCTCTCTAAGTAAACATTTCAAGCAGGAGATGAAAACCGTCTTATATGAGTAAAGTTGTCCATAAAACAGATCACTGTAAAGTAAGCAACAGCAGGACACCCAGGAGGAATCCCAGCTAACCCCACACAACCATGGTGCAATGCCAAGAACCCTGTCCAACTTGCAGGCACACATAGCTAGAAGTCCTTCTGAGACTGTTTTGGTTGCGAACATATGTGAGACGGCAATTCATGGTGGAACTCCATCTCCATATTTTACGGGCCTTTTGGCCAATTACACTTGATGTAATTGAACTTGATGGGTTCCCCTATGTCATTGTAAACTTCTCCCCAATTATTAACTATCTGTCCACTTGTAATAATATTTAGTGGAGGTCTGGACATACACAGAATACTTTGGATTTCATTGTCATAATTTATATATCACTTCCCAGCTCAAAGGAGTTTACAGTGAAACAATTAAAATGCAATAATATAAACATGTTTAAAAGTGCTATAAAAACAACATACTTATAAAACGGAAACTATTTATGCAACATTCATCCAGGAAGATTTGGGTAAAGAAGGAGTTTTCAGCAATAATCTACTATAGTAGGTTCCTAATACTTTCAAGGGCAGAGCATTCCAGAATGGACATGTTTTGCCTCTAGAAGTTGTAGGTGCTCCATCACTGGAGATTTTAAAGATGAGATAGGTATAGGGCCGTGATGGCGAACCTATGGCATGCGTGCCCAAAGTGGCACATGAAGCCAAGTTGCTTGGCACACGCTGCCTTGCCTGTTTGTCTTCCGGGTTCCTGGTGCACATGCATGCGTGATGATCGGCTGTCCTTTGTGCAGGCGGCAGTGCAGAAAACCAGTGTGCGCATGCATGCCAGCCAGCTGATTGTTGAGTGCGCATGCACACTAGAACCCAGAAGTTCACTTTTCCGGAGTGCGGCCCTGATGAGCGTGCACGATGTTTCCATGCAACCTTTTTGGCACCATCACTGGTATAGGGTCTCCTGCTCAACCAGGGGTTGGATCTCCAATGTATCTTCCAACTCTGTCATTCTATATTTGTATGTTAACTTAGAGAAGTAAACCCAAGATGCAAGAGAAGTTCTCTGGCCATATTAGTTATTATCTGGGGCTCTAACAGAGAACATATTCTATTAGGAAAGGTCTGTATGTGCTGGTAACACCATCTTACTTTTACCAGCTCTATTGCTCTATATAAGGCCAGAGCCCAATATAATAACACTGAAGACTTAATATGTATGGTGAGTCTCTTGTAGCTTTTATAACCAGACCCATCTCTTTCCAAATACTGTTTACCAAGATAAATGACCTAGTTGGTCATATAGCAGTTACCTGTATATTGGCCTTGGGTCTTTTCTAGTCACTAATCAACATTCCTTGTCACTTCATGAGAAACAATACTGAAACAGGGTGATCTGTTCAAGACAGCATCTGGTCAACTTCTTCACTAAGCAAGAAATTCTTTCCAGTGCTACACTGTAAATTTTAAAAGAATGTCCATTTATTACGAAATCTTATGCAACCCCACAGTTTAAAAAGATCAGTAACAATTGGAAAAAATTTAAAATAGAGCTACCACGATGGTAAGTGTTCCAGAGAGTTCTGGGATCCAAGCACTATGAAAAAACAGTTAAAGGATCTTGGCCCATTGAGCCTACAGAAAAGAGGATGAAGGGGAAATATGATTGCAGAAAAGCGAGTAGATTGTTCTCTGATATCCTGGAGGGCAAAATTGGAACCAGTGGGTTAAAAATAATAATAATAATAATAAAAGAGGTTCAGGGGGGACTTCCTGACAGTGCAAGTTGACAGTGGAACAGACCGCACATAAAATCATGATTTCTCCTTTACTAAGGCCTTCAAGCAGAGGCTGAATGGTCAGAGATGTTGTGTAGGCTTCTGCAATAGAAGTATGGACCAAAGAACTTTTCTGCTTCTTCAGTGACCTATGTTAAAGCTTGGGTACTCTTCAAACAAATGCATCACATTTTCTTTCTTTCTGTTTTGTCTAGATTATGAGCTTTTTGAAACTACTTTGCCTCCTTCCACCACCACTACCACTACTACTACTATTACCACCACTGAAGCATTGCCTGAAAACAACTTTCCAGAGTTTAGTGTGACAGGCACAGATCCTTTATCAGAATATGATTCTGCTGGAAAGAAACGATTTACTGGTAAGTCTGTAAATTCGGTTAAAAAACAAAGATGACCAATCCTCTGATAAGGGCTTCCAAAGGTAAACATTTGACTGTCTGTCTTGTCAGCAAGTGAGCTTAAATGGTGTCCAAGGGATGGTAGAGGACAGGAAGGCCTGGAGGAAAGTTCTCCATGGGGTCGCGATGGGTCAGACACGACTTTGCAACTAACAACAACTTGTCAGCAAGATTGTTTTGTTAATGGCAAACACGTCCTGTGCACATCAGCTGGGAATCATTTTCTTTTTGAGATCATAAGAATCATTGTCAAATAGAGGAAATAAAAATATACTTCTCTACACCATTGATAAAGTTACAAATTCATACCTTAAACATCTTTCAGAAGGACTGGCATAGTGTATCTATGAGCATCAGAACTTTTGCTGAACCCTCCTCCCTATAGAAATTCTCCCTCCCCGCGCATAAGATAAAATAAAGTAAAACTTTAAAATTCTGAATTCTTGCAAAATTGGAAATCCTTGTGAGATTTTTATCATTTTGTACAAGGATTGCAAAAATCTAAGGTCTTGCACTAGAATGCTGATTTTACAAGACTGACAAAATGTCATGAGGTTTTCCTGGTTTTGTGCACTTTCTTTTGAAATGTACATGTTCTTGCACGAGAGGACATGAAAAGGTCTTGCAGTCTTCTCCCACATAAGTTTTGACAATGGAAAAAGCCTGACAAAGGTTGTTGGCTTTTAATCAGCTCTGTCCCTTTTTACACACATTTCTCCCTAAACTAAGTAATTCAAACATTGTTGCCTTTTGTTGTGAAGAAATTATTCTGATCTTCATTCTGAACTTGACAACATAGTGCTCCCAATTCTGATACTCTTTGAAAGAACTTGGAGAAAAATTGAGAAAAATCGAGTCATTATCTGCTCCTTCTAAGAATAAAGCATTTTCTGTGGTAAACATTAAAGGTATTTTCTCCCTGGAATTGGCAAAGAGAATGATATTTTCTCAAAATCTGTACAGTATTCTTCAACCTCTTGAAAGTGTGGAAATTATACAATAACTGCAGTGTCTTGTTCCAATGTAGAAGTTGGCCTATATAGGAAGAATAATTCTTTCAGTCCAGTAAGTGTCTTTCACCTGGCAATTCATTTCCCTTCTTTTGATGTAGATTCAGCTTCATATGGACTTGTGATTTTAACATTATGAATTATGTTGCTGCTCCACAGTCTTAACTCTAAACCTAATTTGAGAAAAGAATAGTCGGAATGAATAAAGTTTCTTCGGGGTTTGTTTGTTTGTTTCATAGATGCAAACCTTTGTGCATTACAAAGAGAGACTGGAAGGACATACCCATAGTTATTAAGTGATGGACATCACGTTCTGCTCTTTCAGTGTAATTGCAAGCCTTTGATTTTCTGTTTTATGCTGTGGTGCATAATTGTTTTTTAAACTTCTTTATAATGCAGTAAATGGCACACCCCTTGAATGTCTAACTTACATCTATGAACAAAACAAATCTAAACTTGCATTTTTGAAAAATAATAGAAAAATGTTGTACTTCTGGATTAAGAACTGCATCATGTGAAAAGGAAAAGAGGAACTGTATCCAAAGTTTATTATTATTATATCAGAAGGTGATCCTTTGAGGTTCAATGCCAAGTAGAGAGATTTCTCTCAAAGCAAATGTTCTCTTTAAAAAAAAAGAGCTTTTTTTAAAGGTTTGCAACAGGAGAGGAAATAGCTGAATTTCCTTTCTTATGAAAGCATTCAGTAACAATCTCTCGCTCTCAGAGAGAGAGAGAGAGAGAGAGAGAGAGAGAGAGAGAGAGAGAGATATGATAGAATTACTTTCAGTTTTAAAATGCAGTCTATATAACAGGATATGAAACTGTATGTAAACTAAAGTTTGTCCCCGAAAAAGCTGTTTTTAAAAGAGAAAAAAAAAGTGCTTGTAAAAATGATTTTTAGGTGGTAAATTTGAATCAGTTTGTTCCTTTGAAGAAACTGCTTTTTGCTTTGGTTTCAATCAATTCTTTGACTAGATATGCCTATCAGGCTGTCAAGAAGTCCTCCTTTACTCTCACCAACTGAGATTAGATCATTTGGGAACAAAAAGCAATGTCAGTGCTTAAAAATAAATGCACTCTTGGAAATAATTCCTCTAGAGTGACAAAATCTAATAAGATTAACTGACATTTTTGTTATAAACATTTTATGGCATTCACGGGGAGAAAGGGAAGAATTATTGTTCTAACAAAACTGTAAACTGTAACAGAATAAATATTTCCACTGACTTGTGCAAAGAGATTTTTCAACCTCAAGCTGACCTTTTGAGATAATATGTATGCCCATTAATTTACAAGTTCTGTTTGCGTGAACCCTTCTTATGGCTATAAAATATAAAAGTGATAAATTGAGCTGGAGTAGCAATATTCTTCATAAAATTTGGAAGATGAACTTCGTGTCTCAGTAGAAAACCAACTGGCATTCTTGCCTACTTGCTAAGACTACTATCTTCATTATTTCTGTAGGTTGCTGCTTAAGGCTGTTCACAAGGTATAGATAAAAAGATAAGTCAAGATGGCAGCCATTGAATTGAAGCCTTGTGTGTTTCCTATGTGTGATGCAGCTAATCAAGGATCTTTTAATCATTTCACATTACAGTTGTAGAGAGAAAAAATAACCATAAAATTGGTTTAGGTCCATAGTGTACCCTCTGCAGTATTCTGAGCATTATGTTTAACCTTTAAGTACTCAGATTCTAAGCAGATATTTGAAAATATAGTGACCTCTAGTTGAGACTATCATAATCATAACCCTTGTACAATCCATTCTCTTGGCTTTTAATTACTTTAACAGAGGGTTTCTTTGAGTTGCAGTCGGTATATATAGAGAAAGGGGGGGGGACTGTACTAATTGTACAGGTATCTGATGTGATTTTCCCTAACTTCACCTGCTGCTTCCTGTCTGTTAGAAAGGTTACATACCACTTACTAGTGTGGTCAGGTACAGCTAGCTGAATCAGTTTAGATAGAAGAATATCTGGAACGATGGTATTGAATGGACAAAAAGGATTTTGCATAGGTCCTTGGAGATTCAAGATGTTTTAGGATGTAATGCAGAGCCACAACAACAGCATCATCTGCCAATGGTTTTCAGGTGGGCCAGCACTAACCTTTCTAAGGTTTTCATAACTACGGATATTAGAGCAACTGGCCTCTAATCATTCATCTCCTTGATGGAGGGTTTCTTTGGCACTGGAATGATAGTAAAGTGTTTGAAGCTGGAAGGGACTTAACACATCTCTAGTGATTTATTAAAGATGTAGATGAAAATGAAGGCCAGTTGGTCAGCACAAGCAGAAGGATTTACCTTCTCTGGGCCTGGTGCTTTGCCAGGCTTTTTAAATATTCCTTTATATATGCAACATGTTTCCAGGGCTCATTATTCTAAACTTACAGAAATTTGCCTGCTCCGTTCATTGCTACACATAAGTGCAGTGGCTAAGCCCATTTTTATGCATCTTTTAAATAAATCCCCTTAAATTTTTGTGTCCTCCTTTTGCAGACATAAAATAAGTCTTTTTTTCCAATTTGCAAAGTTAGCAAATGATAGGAAAATAGATAATTTCTAAGTTCAGGGACTGTCTTTGGTATATTTTAACCCAATTTGCACTTTCAATTAGTCTTGGAAACTTGTCTGAATGTCAAGTCTGACTTTTCCTTTTACTAATCCATCGTCACCACAACCTTTTTAGACTGAATGGTCTCGTCTTGCGATTTCTTCCAGCTCCTTATGTGACTTATCTAAACAAAGACCCAGCGGCTCCATGTTCTTTGACAGAGGCACTAGATCACTTCCAAGTAGAGAGCCTGGATGAACTTGTTCCCAAGAACTTGAATGCAGGGATGCAACCTCAGAAAACTCCTCACAACATCACAATAGTAGCTGTGGAAGGCTGTCATTCTTTTGTGATTGTTGACTGGGCTGCACCTACCCATGGAGATCTGGTCACAGGTACATTAATGCTTGCCGCAATGGTTAGACTGGTTAATGGAGGCTGAATTGAACAGAACTTTTTTTTTTCATTTTTTGTCTGCATTTTATTTTTCAATAAATTCTCCATGTCTTTCATTCAGTGGTATTCCACTTGGTTTCTTTCCGATAAGAAATAAATGTTGGTCTAACAGAGCTAATCTTTTTTTAACATGACCAAATAAATAAAATGCTACTGAAAAATCATAATGTGAAGACCAGTCTCTCTACTTTATGTTTCTTGAGAGGCTTTATTGATTGATCTATTAATTGAGAGGCTTTTTCAAAATTAGGGTGCCACAATAAAAAGTCTCTGCCTCTTATAAATGTATATCAGATACCCACATTTGACAGTACTTGGAGAAGGGCTTTATTTGAGGATACATAGCAGTCTTGTATGTATTCTATATTTTGCTTTTATAAATACTGCTAATTTATTTCCTGGATTCAGAACTAAAATGTGTAGTTTTACTTGATGGAAAAGTCTAAAAGCTGCTAAAGAGGTAGGAAATTACAATGTTGAAGGATTCAGTGCCCTTAAAAGCCTAAGATCTCTTATCTATGGCTATTACTTTCTTCCTCCACTAATAAAATTTTATTTATTTGCTCCATCAAGTCAATCTTAACTACTAGCAACTTGTGGCACGGTGGTTAGAATGCAGCACTGCAGGCTAACTCACTGCTCACTCCAGGAGTTCAATTCTGAGCGACTCAATGTTGACTCCATCCTTCCCAGGTCAGTCAAATGAGGACCCAGATTGTTGGGGGCAATATGCTGACTCTGTAAACCGCTTAGAGAGGGCTGTAAAGCACTGTAAAGCGGTATATAAATCTAAGTGCTACTGCTATTGCCTGGATTAATCCCTGTGTTTTTCTTGGTAAGACCTTCGGAAGTTGTTTGCTATGGCCCTCTTCTGGGGGCTGAGACAGAGTGACATTAGGAATGTGAACAGTAGGATTTTTCAAAAGTTTATAGGAGCCATATAATCTTGGGAAAAGCTACAGTTGCTTTAATGAGTCATAGAGCAGTGCTGTATGTGCACTCATGCACACTTTGAAGCATTTTTTTCTGGTAAAAAATAAAGTGTTCCATATCTTTATTAGAAATGGGAAGTACCTAGCCAGATAGCTAATGCATACTTGCATAATGTTGATTGAGCCCTATTCCCCACCTAGCTTTGCTGTCATCTCTTCTTGGCAGAAATGGGAATTCCCTCCAGCTTTGAACATACTAATGAAATACTTTTGCCACATGATGTTGTATGATGTATTAGGCTGCTGAAATACCCTGGGGTCTAATATATCCATGACATCTTTCTCTTGGCAGGTTATTTAGTTTACAGTGCATCCTATGAAGATGTCATCAGGAACAAATGGTCAACCAAGAGTGCAGCAAGCAGTAATTTGCCCATTGAAAACTTGAAACCAAATACAAGGTATTATTCCAAAAGACATGAGATAACAAGCCTGATTTAGAGGGGTGGGGAGGGAAAGGTATATAGAAACATTAATATTCCTATTGTGAGGAAACAAATAGGGGCATATGAGCCATGGTGGTGCAGTGGTTAGAATGCAGTACTGCAGGCTACTTCTGCTGACTGCCGGCTGCCTGCAATTTGGCAGTTCAAATCTCACCTGGCTCAAGGTTGACTCAGCCTTCCATCCTTCTGACATTGGTAAAATGAGGACCCAGATTGTTGGGGGTAATATGCTGACTCTGTAAACCGCTTAGAGAGGGCTGTAAAGCACTGTGAAGCAGTATATAAATCTAAGTGCTATTGCTATGAGAACAATGGCATCACAATGCAAAATATGCCATTTATGTACTTACATCAAGGACTATGATGTCATAATGTAATTGATGTCATTTTGTATATTGTCATCTTGATACCATTGTGGCTTGTTATGAACACCACTGCTTGTAGTCCTCCTTCCCACTAAAGCTCCAGTGCTATCAGCCAATATTCTCCACTTGAAGCCTTTCATTGGAGACCAGAGATGCTTTTCAAAAGGCAACTGGAAAGAAAGTCCAGTTGCCTTTTGAAAAGCACTTTTGGGACAACCATGATCTAAATGATTGAGAATCTCCATAGACTTTCATTGGATCATTTTGTAGCTGTTAGGCATTTTCCCTCTGCTCCTTGTTGGGAACAATAATTTTTGTGCCCACAGTGCTGAGAATAAGGCTGAGCATCTGAATCTAACAATATCCAATTGTGGGAGAACATTGTAGGCAAAGATGTTCATCTTTCAGAATCTGGTGAACAGTCAGGAATCACAACAACAATAAATTAAAAAATATAGCAGTGACACTAGCATATGAGGAACTCATTAATAATATTATAGAGGAGATTCTTAGTAGCTCAGGATTGAAATGAGGGGCCCTTGGTGCTCTCTGAACTTAGTTCAGCCAAGCTCAGAAAGCACCAAGAACTTACTTGTACTCAAGATTTTTTGCTCAGTTGCTTATATTTCCTAACCACGAAATCCCCGCTCTAGATTATATAATAAGGAAACAGAATTTTAGAATAGGATTGAAGCCTTTGCCTTTTCTTTGACAGCTAAGTATCATCTGCATCACTTTCTCCCAGAACTCCCAGGCAAAAGTAGCTCCTTATCTTGTGACTTTAAAATTGCCCCTCAAGCACTGTAAAATTTCTGCAATTTAGCAAACTGAACTGGGAGATTAAGCTAGTTTCAATCCATGTGTTCATGATTATACGCAGATTGTGAGGAAACTGATTCACAGAAACTGAGCTGCCTGTAGTGCGTTCCTCAGGCTTTGTTGTGGTTCCTGCTTGAAGGACCTTATGTCTACTTGTTCAATTGAACTTTAAGCTGTTGCTTGACTAAATACCTGCCTAAGGTATTTTACACTGTACATTTTATTCATTTAGTATACATTTTAATATAGTCAGAAAGAGGTTAAAATATAGAAATAACCGACACACCATTGTTTTAATACATGAGTTAAGATTTTATTCTTCTTTTATTATCTCTTAACTATTATTATCCTCTGTACCTTCTAAGCTCTGCAACTGTTTGATATCTGCCTTGTAACACCTCAGATCTTGCCTATTTAAAAATTCACACTTAGAAAAATGTAAAAAAATAATCTGTAGACACTAAGGTAGAAGCATAAACACCCTCAAGTTGAGCTTAATTCCTGATTACTCTTTCCTGCCGACGTTCGTGGCAGTGTTACAGAAGTAATTTGCAATGTTTTTTCAACTTTCCAGTCTAGTCAGAAGCTCTGGAATTCCCAGGCGTTCCTCCATCCAATTTCTAATCAGGGCCAATCCTGTTTAGCCAAGGATCAGCCAAGGTTGGCTAAAGAATTTGGAACTCAGAATTATGATGGATTGTGATTAAAAAGATTGCTAAATCTCGAGCTATGTTGCAAATTGCTTCATCTATCAAGTTTAAAATACTTTGCCATAGTGTTTATACTGTATTTATTTCTCTGAAAGGAAGAGTATGGTTTTATTTTTAATATAATTTACTATTAATGTGGGTAGGGTTGTCTCAGCTATCCAGAGCAGCTATAAAACATTTTATTATTTTAAAAAGTTGCCCTTCTTAAACAAAATCAGTTGCTTTCTTGTGAATAGGACCCCCCAATTTGCAATTTTGCAATAGCAACTGAATGTTGTTTTATTTATTCAGATTTTGGGTAAAACTCAGCTTTAAATACTCCTTAGAGTTTTCTTATTCTGCTATGATTCTTTCTTAATTTTTATTTTTACAGTAATGGAAGACAAGGAATATTGTGTCTAAGCTGATCTGTATTTTTTCTTTTTGGAAAACAGACCACATGATACGTTTTACAGTTAAATCAGAACTGTGACTCAGATAATATATTTTAACGTTTTCTTCAATTAAAATTAAGGAATTTGTTTTTGCTTTCCATCATATTGGATCTCTGGTGATATAAAGTCACTGTTACTGAATTTCAGAAGTAGTAGTCAAGTCCAAAAGCAAATAGGAATGATAATTCAATTAATTAGATGATTTATCTTCTAATGTTCTGGCAGATTTTTTCCTAACAACTGAATGTAGTTTTTGTCCAAAAATGAATCATTGATGATGTCAGCTCTTTTTCAACATTAGCTTTTGTTTTTTTGTTTTTTAATTTCTCTTCAGCCCAACTTTTAGTCTGAAGTCCTAGGACCTGGCCCTGAAATCATATCAGATTTTTCTGTACAACATTTAATTAGAAATTGAAGGGGATATTGCCAATGGGATTCATCCAAATTTGGATGGCATTTTCAGTGTCAAAGACTGTTATTTAAAAAGATCAAATGGGAAATTATGGAAAACTTTCTCCAAAATTTCTATATTGATGAGGCTACTTACTAGAGAAATGAAACACCTGTAAACCAAAGATCAAGCTTAAAGAACCCCAACAATACCACATATGTTCTTCTATTAAAATGTCCTTATATTGCAGCATGATTTTTATGTGTGTGCCTTCAAGTCAGTGTTGACTCCTAGTAACCACCTGAACTAGTTCCTGCAGTTTTTTGGAAAGATTTTCAGGGGTAGTTTGACATTGCCATCTTCCAGGAGCTGAGAAAGAGTGACAACTCAAAAATTTACCTTTCATAGTTTCTCTTTTCTTTCAATATGAGAATTTACGGCCCTTTCAAGTCCGTGGTTCTGAGAGTTTTGAAAGGACGCCTACCTTTCATTTGGATATTTGACAATATGGCAAGTGTTAGTGTCAATATATAATTCATTGTTCAAGGGATGTATTTCTCTTTCTTCCAAACAATCTGAAGTGGCTGGGCATAAACACATGTGCAGGAGCAGCTGTAACAGCATTCAAAATATGCAGAAGAGGCAAATGTTTTAATTATTTCAAGATTGGGGCTTCATTTATGTTCTTGCATTTCATGAAAAGCAATTTTTAAAGGCTTTAGTTTCCAAATTCTGGCATAACTTTTTGTTCTGCAGCTTTTTAATATTTTATCAAGTGCTGGACATTTAACAAAATAATATATTTTCCTACAGTTAATCACAAGTTTCATTGCATGTCTTGCCATGAAATCAATATCCTTGGGAAACAAGACTTTTAGTAACATATTATTGTTGTTTTTCCTCAGAAATTGATTGATATTTTAAGTCTTTGGTAATTTTAAAAGAAAAAAAAATGGTAAAGGTAAAAAAAATGGATGGATGGATGAATACTTTTAGAATTTCATTCACATAAAGTTATCTTGGCTGTATGTGCCCTGGTTAGCTAACAGTGCATGTAGAACAACCGAGGGCTCAGTTTAAACCAGACATCAGACAGTTTATCTTTCCAGCTCAGAATTGCTATTAAAATAAGGCCTGCAATTGGAGCCAACTCAAATTGACAAGGTGGCTTTTATATACATTACCAGGGTTATGAAGAAGGCTATTTTTATTCACCAGATTTTTCTTTTGCCCCCAACTCTTTGGGGAGATATTCATACATCTCCTTCCAAGGAAAGTATGGTCTAAATCATGGATGTGCCCATGCCACAGAATTTAATATGGCTGTTTAACATTTGATGACTTCCATCTGTCTTCATCAACCAATTTCACAGAAAGTAAACATAGTGCTTGAGATAATGCTGGATATTTAAACACTTCACCTATTGTGTTTCACCACTGTCAGCTCTTTGCTCATTATCAAATTCTGTTGGTTCTTGCATGGTTTCATGACTGAATAAAACATTTTTGATGAAGCTATCATTAGAGGTGCCTCAAAAAACAAGATGTATTTAATAGCTTTTGTGGAACTTTTCAGAATTTCTTCTAAAAAAGCCTGTTTGGAATTTATCTAATTTTATTACCACAAGCTGTTGTTATTCTGCCAGTTTAATGGATGCTTGTTTTTTTCCCCTCTTTTCTTGATTTAGGTATTACTTTAAGGTCCAAGCAACAAATCCTTATGGTTATGGTCCTATAAGTTCATCCATCACCTATGTCACTGAATCTGGTATGGTGGTTTAATATAGTATTAAAATACAAAACATTTTTAACTACAAATTAGAGCACTGTCAACAAGAATCCAGTGGATGTTAAGATTTCAGAATAAAAACAACAAATGACAACAGGAATGATCAGGGAACTACCCAGTAAAAGGAGGAGGAGGAGGGGAGGATCTGTTGGCATGTTAGGAAATAAAGACAGCTTTGCCCAGCCTGAGTTTTCTTCAGATATGTGAATTTATTTCTAAACTTCTCCAGACAGAATGGCTATTGTTGAGAATTCTGGGATTTGAATTTGCACATTTGGACAGAACTGCTCAGGGAGGGCTGGTTAAGAATTGAATTAACAAAAATCAAATGATGAAGTGCTGATCGTCTCTGGTCAAAAAGGAGTGAATTTGTGCTTCAGCTGTCGGTCTTTTGATGCAGAAAGCCAACATCAATGTTTTCTAACAGTTTCTCAGGTTACCCGATGTGGATGTAGTCTTTAATTTTTCTATCCTGATAATAAAGCAAAGGAATGGCATATCACTTCTATTTTCTCCTCAGGAAAACTACATGACTGTTTCCATTAGGTCGTCAGGGGTCAAGCTCAGCACAAAGAAAAGTTTACCTTTTACCCTGATAGTGGGAGTGGGGGAAAAGGTTACATTAAAAAATGAAAAGAGGAAATTCCATTTCTGTTTCTTGCTTGGCAAGACACTTAACAATAGTTTTTCTTTCTTTCTTTTAATCCTGAGCAGCTGAGTAATTGGAAACAATTGTGTCTGTCAAAAAGTTTGGGAAACAAATTTTCTTTTAGATTTTTCCCCTTTCTCAGCTGAAGCTTGTTTTCATTTCATAAAGCTGATTTTGTTCTTTGAAATTAAAAGCTTTTAAATAATTTTTAAAAATGTCCAGCTACAAACATCCCATGCTATTTTTACTTGGAAGGTTGATCATAGGTAGATCATTTGGCACAATGTAACAACAAAATACAATATGTATTTTATAAATACATATTGCATTTTATAATACATATTGTATTTATAAAATATTTATTTATTTATATAAATAAATATATTAAATATTTATTTAGAAATACAATATGTGTTTCTCAGTATATACACCAAAGACAAATTCCTTGTGTGCCCAATCACACTTGGCCAATAAAGAATTCTATTTTATTCTGTACGGTTAATACCTTAAACTAACTGGATAACTCCAAGGTTATTTTTTTCCCCCATCCTTAGATTCCTAAATTCCTGACTTGGAATTCATGTACATAACCATATTTCAATAAATCTGCATCCAAATGAACTCAACAGTTCTTCTTATGGATTTAGAATAGGAATCTTTGCATGTATAGGAGGTAAAAATAATGTCCAATTGAGTACCCTCACATGGATTCCTGGAAAAATTGATTGAAGCCTTAATTAGTTAGCAGCTATATCTGTAAGGAAATCAACATGTCTGCTTGGCAAAAAGAGCAACTACATCGTTTTATTACAAGTCCTGTCCATTTTGAATACCATTGGCGTCAGTCACTTGCAAAAGGTAGCTTTACTTAGAACAGTTTACATCCTGTGACAATACTTTGAACATAAACAACAATACCTACCTATCCCGGGTTCTTGGGAAGGACTCAGTAGGTGGATAAAAATGCCAAATACAGTCTGAACATCTGGCTGATTATGCAACAAGCTTTCTAATTTATTAAACTTCTATCTTGCCTGACTTCCAATGACTGGGCAACTTTCAACAATAAAAGAAATTACAATACAATCAATGAAAAATAAAGATAAAAGATGTCAAGTGCAATGAAAAAAGGGGTTTCACTTATAGGTATAAGCACTAGTATAATGTAGAGACTTTAAAAGGAAAAGAAAAGAAAGGAGTCAAAGGAAATGTATATCCTAAAATATATGGAGAAATTACAAAGGGGCAGCAGTGCTTTGGGTCCTCTTCATCAGAGATGTTAAGATGAGTGAAGCATAGAATAATTTATCCTTGAAGTCCAAATGACCTTCTAGTGTAGGAAGGTGGTAAAAACACTGCTGTTTTGTCAAGCTCTTGAAATATGTCGAACTGTTTGTAATTACACTTGTTGCTTTAATTTCTATATGATATTGTATGTAAGTCATTCAGAGTTTATGAATATAAACAGAATATAAATTATACAAATCAACAAGAAGATTCAGAAACTGCTTGTCTTATTTTGGCTGTGGATGCTGATTTCTTGAGTAAATCATTGAAACATTTCATTGTTATTTCCTTACAGATAATCCTCTTCTTATTGTAAGACCTCCAGGTAAATTTCAGTTTTGCTTTCTGGTGCTTTGTCGTTTTCTCATAAGCGCGGCATAGATTAAAGTTGTGATTTAATATCTATGATGGAGGGGAAGGAAGGAAGGAAATAATCAGTGAAAAGCAGTGTTTGGAAGAGTATCCTCATCTTAAGAGGCCTTACAACATAAATGCAGAACTTCATTCAATCTGAGTGCCATGCTTGCCCTTGAAATAGCATTACTTGAGGCTGAGACAGGTGTTAAGTCAGGACAACTTCTTCACAGCTCCCTAACCATTGCTTAAATATACTGCAGCTATTCCTTTTTTCTGCTGTGTCTCATGATGTTGCCTTTGTCTCACTCTCCTCCAGTATCTGAGGGAACCTGTTCCAAAGTAATATTTTTTCTTTTCTCCCAATATATATCAGGTTGATCTGGCATGCTTCACTGATACATTGCATTCAGGAATTAGGATTTGTTCAGGTCCTATTGGCCACTTAGGCTTCTGAGAGCCACACGCCCCTGCCCTCTGGTTGTATACAGTAATGGGCAGGCAGTAGGAATAACCTTGAGGAACCAGTGGAAAAGCCACAACTAAGACAATGTTTAGATAAAAGAAATTTGAGTCCAGGGTAGAAATATAATTTGAGTAAGCATCTCAGACATGTTCTTCCCTAGTTCTCATAAAGATAGAGGGGAAACACATTCAGAGTTGCAAAATTCTGTTACCATCACCTTATAATAAAGTATTACCATTCTTAACCCTAATATCTTAGTCTAGTCTACCTTAAAAAGGACTACTAGATAGCACTTTAATCAGGCTATCCGCAAAATACCTACACTTTGTTTAATCCAGTTTATTGTAATTAAAATAGATTAATTAAAATTTAAGTACTTTCAGTATAATTGCTCTCTGTATAATTAGTCATTTTGCTTTCTGTCATGTTAAAGTTCCAAAATGACATCAAAATTTGAAGGAGTGGCTACTCCAAAGAAACTCCAAAGGGTTTATCAGCTCTTGGAGTAGAGAAAGAACAGAATTCTATATTTGTCAAAGTTAGTAAACAATATTTCAGGCTAGTGACTTTTGTGTGTTTGCTATAGTTCTAGAAGTGACTTAGATTAGAATATTGCAATGCATCTTTCCTTATTCAATTCAAGTCAATGCCTGCTTAGATTACCCACTTGACATTTAATACATTTTAAACATAGTGTTATTGTACAATGGATTAAAATTATGTCTTAGAATCATAATTTGTCCCTGAGTTTTCATGTTTAATATTTAAAATGCAGAAAGTGCCAAATAATTCTTGCAAGTTGCTTTTGAGTGCATAAGAGAAACCATATGGTTGGCTTCACAACAGCAACTGTAGTGGTATATGGTCGATTTCACTGGCACCTCTTTATGGGAAACCACACTGCTGATGAACAGTGCAGGAACGTGGAGTGTTTGTGATCCAGATTCATTGTATAGGTCTTTTTCTTTTTTCCTTTTCCTCCTACTCCTCCTTTTTCCAATAACATTGTGGCTGAAATGCTAGGAAAAGTGAGAAGCTTGATGTAGAAATTTCAGTCAGAGCTCAATGGGCTTATCTTTGCATGTTATTCCTCATTTGATGGGTGCTTAGAGGATTATGCCTTTTTTCAAGTTGAAAAGCCCATATAGTGCTGTGGTAGGTGTTTCCCCTCCTTTTTTAAAAAATATGTTTCTCGTGCCATGGGACAATTGACACCAGTGTAGGAGATCAAAGAATGTAAGGAAAGCTCATATTTTAGAAGCAAAGGCCATTGTAAGCAAGAAGGCACTTTTATGTGCTATTATATCATCTGCTAGAGAGCCTACTAAATCAGATGCTTAAATTTGAAGTATTTTGTGCAAATTACTCTAATGAATTCCTGTTTTTTCTCTGGTAGGACCTGTCTATCAGGGCAACATGGTCTACCCAATTATAGGACTGAGCATACTGTTTCCATTTTCGCTTTTCAGCCCCAATCCAGGGGCCTTCGCAGGCAGTCACTTTCACAACAAACTATTTTTCTGTTAAATGTATGTTTTACCGACAAAGTTATAAAGGGAGACTAGTATAGATCTTTTTCAAGCTATTTAGCTCTCATCAGCTAAATCTGCCTGCCTGGGTTTGAATCCCAGAAGGGTATGGCTAGCTGATGAGAACTAAATAGCTTGAAATAGATCTATGCTAGTCTCTCTTTATTTCTTTGTCAGTAAAACATAAATTTAACACTAATGAATTCCTGCACTGGTGCAGGTAGTGGTCTCTCACACATGGACTATCCTGATTTTTAAGGCTGAGAAGGCAGTCCCTTGGTGTTTTCTTTTCTACTTCAAAACTGTAATTATTTTAAAATTTTAGGAAAGTCCATTGGTGCTTCAGTTTACATGTCAGAGCACACAGGTTGTAAAATAAGGACAGTTGATTTCAAAAAGAAAGGTAGATAATTCCTATAATCTTTGGGAGCACATTGTAGAGTATCAGATTTTGTTGTGAATGTTGAATACACACTGAAGTGTTTTTCTAATCCATGGTGCCCAAATTGTGGTTTGCTATGTAGCCATTCAGACTTTGAATGAAGGCAAATATATGTGTCCCAGGATAATGTTGCAGGATCCAATCTGGGTTGGTCACCAGGATCAGAGATATAGCTTTCTGAGCTTTTGGGCTTGTGCTGGAGCCCATTCTCAGGGAACTTCTCTCTAGTAGAATGGGTTATTCAGATTTATTATTATTATTCTTCATTCAGACTTCTTCCAGACATTTTGCAGTGGTTGTTGTTGTTAGTTGCAAACTTATCGCAACCCCATGGACAACGTTCCTCCAGGCCTTCCTGTCCTCTACCATCCTCTGGAGTCCATTTAAGCTCACGCCTACTGCTTCAGTGACTCCATCTAGCCACCTCGTTCTCTGTTGTCCCCTTCTTCTTTTGCCCTCAATCAATCCCAGCATTAGGCTCTTCTCCAGTGAGTCCTTCCTTCTCATTAGCTGACCAAAGTATTTGAGTTTCATCTTCAGGACCTGGCCTACGGAGAGCCATAATGAAGAAAACAAAAGGCTTCCTCAGCATTTAGTAATCTAGTTCCACTTATAACACCCTGTTTGCATAATCACTTCCAAAGTAAATCTGTTTTAGTAAATCGTGTACTGGTCTGGTCAAGTAGTAACATTTAGTAAGTTATTGTTAAATTACTGTTGTTTAATATTATCACATTTAATAGTCGAGTCTTTAATCTGTTTTGTAGGTGGTGAACCCATCTGGATCCCATTCAATTTTAAATATGATCCCACATACTCAGAATGCAGTGGGAAGCAATATGTGAAACGAACGTGGTACAGGAAATTTGTAGGTGTCGTTCTTTGTAATTCATTGAGATACAAGATTTACCTCAGTGATGATCTAAGAGGTATGTATTTGGGTCATCTGGCAGTGCTGAAGTAAGATACAGTAAAGACTCAAAAATAAATTGACTACCTTGCATGATTAAAATGCATCTGAGCTATTGGCTGGCATACAGTAAATAGCTCTGTTTTTCTTTCCCCATTTCTCCCTTTTAATCCTATCCAAGATATATATTGAAAACACTTTGGATTGTCTCCTAGTGTGTTTTAATAATTTGGGGTAATCTGAAATTCTATTATTTGAATTCTCTATCCACTTTCAAGTGAATGAGATGCAGCAGGAAGAAAAAAAGGCTATATTTTGCAATGAGCAAGGGATGCTTGCTGATTTTCCTCTTTCTTGTTAAAACTGTGGTTTGAGTCCCTTCAAAAAGTAACAAACCTGTATCTTAGTAGGCTATTGTGTCATAACATAATGCTTTGCTTTGAACAGTGCTATGCCCTAAGTAGGATCATTCAATGGATTTACACTTTGCTGCATAATACAAAATATCAGTTCAGTCTCAATCATTTCAGTTAAATTCACCACAGTTTTGGAAATTTGGAGATTTCTCATTTCCTCATATCCTCAAAAATCAGAGAAATACTTCATTTTCCACAAGTGCATAAAGAGATGCCATAATATTTTAACTCAGATCTAAATGGAGTCAGTGTCACTTTTTAAAAAAGAAACATATCAGAACCAGACCAAGAAACAATAATCATGTTTTAATTTTTAAATCATTATAGAAAACATTTTAAATGGGTTAGTTTTAGGGGGAAATGCTTAATATAGTATGCATGTAACTTAGAAGTGATTTTTTTAAAAAAGTACAGTCGAAATGTGTAAGCCTTAAGGGTTTACACATGGGGGGGAAAACGCAGTCTGGGAATAAACTCATTTACTCATTTCAAGTTGTAATTTTCAGACTCAGTTCAGTTCAGTGAGGGAGAGAAAAATATTTCTCCATGCATTCATGTATGGCTATTTGTACCATCTTCTTCTGTTTTATGTGGAATAAAATTCTGCTACCTAATTTTAGTGCAAGTTCTTTATTATATACATATTAATTGTTCCTAATTCATTGAAAAAAGATAACCACAATACAAAAAGACTGCTGCCAGCTCAATGGCAAATGTGCCACTTGAAGGCAAGAGAACTTTTAACTGTGATTCTCAGCCAACTATTTTTGGCCGAATGCAAGAATGTTGGCAAGGTCCATTGGTTCACTTTCATACTATGACAATGGATTATTTCACTATAATGCTCCTATTATTGCAGAAATTCATAAACATAATAAATAAGTTACTACCAAGGAAGGGACAGAAAATTCTTTTCCCTGGATTTATAGTCTTGGCTGCAGCAAACTCATTCTAAGTGCTTTTCACCCTCCTTTTTTCCCAGATACATTTTACAGCATTGGGGATAGTTGGGGAAGAGGTGAAGATCACTGTCAGTTTGTAGATTCATACCTGGATGGACGAACAGGACCACAGTCCTATGTGAATGCTCTGCCTCCTATTCAAGGTAAAAATAAATAAATAAATAAGTGCAACATTAATTTGATGGGGCCCTGGAGATTTACATTGCATACAAGTTGTAAAATAAAGCAGCTTATGCCCAGTTCTTCAAAAACCATGATTTTGTAATACTAAAGTTGGAGTGTTTTTTCTCCTGTGGGACCAGTCTATCAGAGCAACCTGGACTACCCAATTATGGGATGGAGCATACTGCTTCCATTTTTGCCTTTTAGCCCCAATCCAGGGGCCTTCGCAGGCTGTCGCCTTCGCGACAAACTATTTTTATGTTAAATTTATGTTTTACCAACAAAGAAATAAATAAAGGGAGACTAGTATAGATCTGTTTTAAGCTGTTTAGCTCTCATCAGCTAGCCATACCCTTCTGAACCAAGCTGCTTACATATTAAGTAGATGTATTAACCTCTAAACCTATGGCTAGCTGATGAGAGCTAAATAGCTTGAAATAGATCTATACTAATCTCCCTTTATACTAAAGTTGGACTTTCTCTTCCCAGATCCCCCAACACATCAGCAAATGTGTTCAGGCAGTTCAGTATTAAAAGCCAGTCTTCCTTCAGTGTGCTCTCTCTAAATCTATTGGGATGTTAACTCCAGGGGTGAAATGCTTCAGGTTCGGACCGGATCACCCGATCCGGTAATGATGGTGGCGGGTGGTTCAGAGAACTGGTAGCAAAAATCCCTGCGTCCCCCCCATGCCCAGCTGAGCCACGCGATCATCAGAGGCTGTTTTTTTAACTTTTAAAAGCATTTTTTCTACAACCTCTTTGACCGAAAAAATGCTTTTAAATGTTTTTTTAAAAAACGGCTGAAGAGGTTGTAGAAAAAAAATGCCTTTAAACACCTCTGGCGATCCCAGCTGAATTGCCTGATCGTCAGAGGTTTCAAAAAGCATTTTTTTTCTGCAACCTCTTAAGGTTGTAGAAAAAATGCTTTTAAAAATAAAAATAAAAAAGTTGGCCATGCCTACCCAGTCACATTACCCCCACCACCACCAAGCCATGCCCACAGAACCGGTAGTAACAAATTTTAGATTTCACCCCTGGTTAACTCCCAACTAGCAACAGAATTAGAGATGGAACACATTAGCAAAGTACCACGCTGGGGAAGCTTATGACAAATTATTTCATTTTCAGTCTAGGCAGTGACTGGCAGAGTTTTTAGAACCCTTGGCATTTTAGCACAGAAAAGGAAATAACTTAATTACCAAAATCCTAGCTTCATGCTGTGCTTTGCTTTCTGTGCAAGAGTGAGTGATCCAGATAAGACCTACTGTGGAGAAGAATCACAAAATACCATGAAATAATGGACCTAGCACAGAAGGCAGAGTTTCAGGTAGCCCTCTATCTGTGTGGAAAGGTTGTGCTGAGAATTTGTTAACATTTTAAAGCATTCCTCTTCTTTCTACAGGCTTGTCTATCATTTGAAAATGGTTATCTTTGATTCCTTTTGATTTCTTAATTTTACTCTTTTTTTAATGCTAGCATTGATATTTCAGCCTTCTCTGTTCCCTTCTTTCCATTGGTCGCCTCTGATTGGTGGGGGGAGCCAGAATACACCTCTGGAACTTTTTTTCAGATTGCAGGAAAAATACTATGATCTGCTAAATCACTAGTGTAATTTGTGTTTACGTGGCAAGAGCCATTTCTACTTTAATAGAAAGTAGACATGAAATTGGACATTTAATAGACATGAAAGCGTTATTGGCATTAATGTTACATCAGAACAGGACACAGTTGTCTCTGCCTATTAGTTTGGAACGAGTCCTACTAACATGTGAAATGGCAGGCTGTGTTATTATGTGATACATAATGTTTCTGTCTGTTCAAATTGGCATATATTACTGTGGGTTGTTCTAATTCTCACAATAATTCAGACAGTGCCTTGGAATATAGCCACTCAATGCACTCAAGCAGTTTTGAGAATGGAAATGTGGTTATGCAACATATTTCTCTGGCCCTAATCTTGTGAGACGCAAGCAACTAGAGCTACATGTGAAGCGTGTATGTTGGCTACTTTATTCTATTCTACTTATAATACAAGAATCTGCTCAGACTGCTTGCCTTCTCTTGGGAACAAACAGATAAGGTGCCATGGAATTTAGGAAAAGTCAATCTTAAAACTTAGAACTGGCAGATTGGTAAAGAATAAATATAAAGGTCCATCTGGTTTCAACAGCTTTGAGGTACAAGGCGCCACTTCTTGCAGTAGCCAAAAAAGGAAGCCCAAACAATTGAATAATGAGTGAAAGAAGTTCTACGAGTCAGAAAGAAATTAGGCTGGCCCCACACCAAACCCATTTGTTTCAGACAAGGGATCTTCAGTCAATAGCAAAACTGAAAATCTGTAATTTAGAAAGAGAAGTAACCAAAGACCAAGTGAAGCAGGGGTGAAATGCTACTGGTTCAGACCGGTTTGGCCGAACTGGTAGCGATGGCGGTGGGTGGTTCGGAGAACCAGTAGCAACGGCAGCACAAGGCTCCGCCCACCCACCCGCTCGTCATTACTTCCTGGTTTTAACCCTCTGCCCATGCACAGAAGGGTTTGCGCATGCACAGAGGGTCCGCGCACGTGCACTTCCATACCGGTAGGGAAGGTAAGTAGATTTCACCCCTGAAGCGAAGCACAGGATTATTGTTGACATAGGCTATGCAGCAAAAAAGATTAGAAGAAGAAGAGTTTCATGCCAATAAGAGAGTTCACAAGGAGAATTACAGGCCAAGAAATTGTAATTCCTTTCAAACCTTCTGTATACAAGCAGAGCAGAAAGAATTCTATTTAAGCTGTTTCTAGAACAGGATAAATTACATGCCGTAAGGAATAACAGAAGGAGACAATTGGGTATTTTTGAAGACTGCTCAGCTAGCAAGGTGTATCTCACTTCTTTTCCCCCATCTTCATTTTCTTTACAGAAATTAAATTAAGTAATTATTGAACTAAAATTAAAAGTATTAAGTAAAGTTAATAAAGTGACTACATCCCTCTGTTACTGTTAAGATACTAACTTCAATACTTTGGTTCCTTCAGGTTATTATCGCCAGTATCGCCAAGAGCCTGTATCATTTGGACGCATTGGATATATGACACCCTATTACTACGTGGGCTGGTATGAGTGTGGTGTAACAATTCCAGGGAAGTGGTAGCTGTGTTGTGGTCCTCTGCAGATCTTAATCACAACTTTTGAATAACTACCATTGAAGGATTTGGAGCAACTGCATCTGGGAATGAAAGAAAACAAAAAAATCCCTCAAAGAAGAAACATGAGAAGCTCACTGGAACTCAGTGATGCCCTTATCCTTAAATCAATGGTGCTGCTTGGTTATTTTGCTTCAGGACATATATAGGATGAATTTGGGGTTGTCCTGCCTTTCCCCCCTTGGTTGTAGGTTCCAGGTCTAGGCCTGGAAATGTAACTGAAATGAGCAGTTATCTATGCTCAGTGAAGCCTAATATATTCGATTAACCACACAGGAAAAAAAAATGGAATTGTGATATATCTTGCAAGAAGATGACTTAAGCATGCTGTGCTTGCATTATGGAATGTTAACCAGTTTCCACTGCTATTAATAGAATTCTTTGTTGTTATCCACTTTGGGTTGTGAGCTTCAGAATGTTGGCTTACAGCTGCACTATGTTACAAAACACCCCTGAAAACCAAATGGAAGGGTTGCTCACAGCTTCTTCTGGGGGTTTGCACACGGCTGAACAAAATACCAGGTCACTCTGTAAATTCAGCTAGCACAAACAATCAACAACTGCAACCAGTACGGTCTGGTTGCAGAAATACTTTTTAAAGCTGAGATTTTGTAAAGAAAAGAATTTAGATAAATAATGTTTATGGGTTAATGTTTATGTAAAAGGTGCTATTCATAACAAATCTTCTGAAAATATTCTGTGAAAAATATACTATGCACAATACATTAATCACATATGACTCAGGCTTTTATTCTTGTGGGTGATGTTGAACTCTAGTGAAATAGAAAACGTAGAAAAGGGGAAAAATGGAAAATTTCAGCATCAAATTCTGAGCATGACATGTTTCAGCAACAGTGGATTATTAGGTCCATATTCTAATGTGGCTGAGGGTCCAACATCAGTACAAATTTAAGCAAGTGTACATTAAAGGTACTTTACAGTAGATGCTTTTTGTAGCCTAAATCACAAACTTGTTTAAGTGGAAGAGAAAGAGTTTGATTTCAGTGAAACCAAAAGCTGCTTAATCTGCCATATTATTGCACAAAAGGAGGCTACACAAAATTGTAATGTCAGAAGGGTTAAAAAAATTAATTCCACCTTTTTTCCCCCTTGCCCACATAGCCTCGGTTATACCCTCCCTCCCTTGGTGGTTATTTTTAAAATACATATTAAATGCAATATAACATGTATAATATCACAACTAGAACACCCTGTCCCCTGGCTGCACAACACGTGCTTAAATTTGAAAATTTAGATAACTTGAACATCAAATCTTCAGTTGCTGAAACCTTTTTAGACTTTTTCAGACACATATTTGTTTAGCCTAAAAGTCAAACTCTGAGAATGAATTCAATTGAACCTGGTGGATTTGAGGCTTATTTTTCATGAAGAACAGTATCAAGTTCCTTTTGATGAGATGAAAGTTTCAAAACAGTTCACAATATCGCTTGAAGGTCACATGTTTCAAAAGAAGAAGAAAAATGCGGGAACTCCAAACATAGCTTGAGTCACTCAGATTTTGAGTATCTCATTATTTCTTTTCAGAAGCAAAGCCCCTCACCAACAATATTACACAGACCTGGGCATTTTACTGCCCGCAGGCCATAACTGGCCCTTTTGGCTGTCCCTGTCTGGCTTGTAGAATCAGCGGGGCATCAGCAGTGGGAGCTAAGTGGCATCATCATTGGCAGGAGGTTGGGGGTCAGTGGTCCTCCACAACAGTCCCAGTTGCTCATGTGACCTCTTGGGAAAATCAATTGCCCACTTCTGATTTAACATATAGCCAGATATTATGCAGGATTTATTTGTACATTTTAATTTATGTTGTTAACATCCTAATCCCATCAGTATGACAATACTTTCTTGTTCTTTAAGAAGAGATAGTTGAGATACTTTGCAGTTCTCCAATGCACATGTGGAACCAAGCTGTTTTATGTCACATCCTTCCTGTATAACCAAATTATTAAAAATAATGATGTAGCCTCTGCTCAGATGAACCATGTGAACACACAGAATTCTCATATGTGTTTAAAAAGTACAGGATGCAGATACAGCTGTATAGATACTAAATTGGTATTTTTTTGCTTTCCAATTTGCTATGCAGCTTTTTTTTAGTAGGCTGATGATGATATGCCTTGCATATTTAGACAGTCCCTCCAACCTAGCTGGATGAAAGTGTCTTCCTTCCCTTTTCCTTTCCATTTCATATGGAAAATCTAAACAGAAAGTATATATTTTTTTTGCATTGCACAATTGTGGCAGTGTTGGTCAATTACAGTTGTTCAACACCATGTCAAAATTACAGTAATGAGGACAGACTTTACATCTCTGTAGCATTGGTTGGGTGACTACATGATGTTACAAGTAATCAGTAGGAAATTGTTAAAGTGAGTGTACCTTTTTGTACTAAATAATACTTTCTGATACCATTTTATTGAGTAGTGGTCTCTCCATTAAAGACCAAAAGTTTTGGGAAATAAAGCAACTGAAAAAAAATCACGAAGAACACTTGATTTTAAGCCAAACTTGCAGGTTCTCCCAACAATAAACAATAAAGAATTGGAAACAGCCACAGAGCTGGATGTAAATAACCAATTTCCAAAGTGTGACAAAGTTTGTGGTTTCCAGGCTTCCATGTCTTTGAGCCCTAGTTCATATTGCCAATGGACAAATATGGCTACTGTATGAAAACACTGGAAGGCATGATTGTTTATTATTATTTTTGGTTTATGTCCATACTTTACGTATTGGATTTTACTTTTCACTTATCTCCATTAAAACCAGAATTGCATATTCCTATGCCAATGCAGTGTTTTTCTAGAAAAAGATAGTTGAGGGTTTGTAAATGCAAACATTAGGCCTGGCACCAATATGCAACACTCTGATAAAGCAACTCAAGCCTTGCAGAGCCTTGACATCATTGATATGGCCTTATTACCGACCCGTAGGATTAACGCTAACCTTAGGTCTCTGGGATATTGTGCAAATGTAATAGCAGACAAATCCCAAAAAAAGAAAGCACTGATAAGTGTTTGCAGTATTCCTTCTTGATATGGTTGCCAGGTATATTTTCATGGGTAGTCCTGAGAAAAGCAGAGAAAGTGCATACCTATATCTAGAATGATGCCATGGTGACTTGCAGCCGGAGCCTCTGTACAAGATTTGCTAATGTAGGAAAATGTCTCCTTCAAAGCAGACTTTATTGATCGTCTGTATAAACCTGGAATTCTCTTTTTGGAGCATAAATGGTTCATAACAAGTCACTACTGTAATCCAGAAGTTCATGAACTGTCCCAAATAGGAACATCTGAGCTTTTTCTTGAAAATCACTAGAAAGTTTAAGTCATGGGGGAACTGGGGAATTCTGGGAGTTGAAGTCCACATATCTTAAAGTTGCCAAGTTTGAAAAACACTGGTTTATGTCCTCCAGCACGTGAAACGCTCATAGTTAAGTGCTTTCTGGCAGCCTCCATTGGAGAACTATAATTGTAAAACATCCCTGAGTTGCTAAGACCCAACAGTCTTCCCAAATAATCAACCAAGTTGGCTATACTTCAAAAAGAAACTGGCTCAAGGGATCCCTCCTGTTTAAGAAACCAGCAAACACTTTCCATTCAATAATGTTTTCCCAACATAGACAGAACCTGATTCTCTGCATCTGCTGCTTTTGGAGTGCGGTGCAAAACAAAAGAGTAAGAATCCTGGGTGAAAATACAGTAACAGTGGCTACTATGAAAATTGTGGGAGTTAATAAGCAGCACCAATATAGGAGATCTTTCTCTATCACAACCAGAGGTGGGTTTCAGCAGGTTCTGACCAGTTCTGGAGAATTGGTAGCAGAAATTTTGAGTAGTTCGGAGAACCGGTAGTAAAAATTCTGACTGGCCCCGCCCCCATCTATTTTCTGCCTCTCAAGTCCCAGCTGATTGGGAGGAAATGGGGATTTTGCAGTAACCTTCCCCTGGAGTGGGGTGGGAATGGAGATTTTACAGTATCCTTCCCCTGCCATGCCCACCAAGCCACACCCACAGAACCGGTAGTAAAACATTTTGAAACCCACCACTGATCACAACTGATTGTTATTTTTTCCACCTTTTCTAGCAGCATCCTTAAAAGAAAAGAAAAAACTCTCCTGGAATATTCATCATTTTTCTAGCCAAGCTATTTCCTGCTACCTTCCTGTATTTTATACTGTGGATTTCAATGCATTCAATATATGAAGACAGCAGGCCATTTATCTCAACTACCAAACACCCCAGTGCACTCTGTAATGAAATGACAGTAGTACAAAAATTCCATTTCCTTTTGCTTTGACGGTAGCCTTTCTGGAAGATATTGCCACAATTTATATATTACTAATGGAAACGGCAATTTCTCTTTGAGTTCAACTGTCATTCTGATTGTTTTCAGGCCTCTTTGCAACCATATTCAGCAATATTTCTCACTTTCCCTCTCATCACATCTTTCTCTAAAGAGACCATGGGAAGCCTGCCATTTAAGCTGATCTCTCTATTTTCATAGATAAGGGATCTTTTGGAAAGAGACTCAGCGCTTACCCATTTTCCTTATTTTCTTTGAAGTGTCAGTATTGTGTCCATAAGCTCTGAAATAAAATAACTTGAAAATATTTGGTCCTACAGTAATCTATACTCTACATCTGATATTATGAAGGATAAATGTTCTCTGTTTGAGAGAAATTGAGATCTTCCAGTTGGAGATGCAGTCAATTAGTTGGGTGGGATGACTAGCCACCCAGAATCACGTTGTAGGGGAGATGAGCAGCATAGAAATTTAATAAATAAAATAAATAAATTCTGATATTCCCCAGTGCCACTGGTGCTAAATCTATATAGAATTGTAGCAATTTCTGCTCTTGTTTTGGAGAATATTCTTGGTTTGGCACACTTCTGAGATCACATTAGAGCAGGGGTGTCCAACCTTGACAACTTTAAGACCTGAGGACTTCAACTCCCAGAATTCCCCCACCAGCCATGGAAATTGGGGAGGGGGTTTGAAATTGACAAGTTTTAAAGTTGCCAAGATTGAACACCCCTGCATTAGAGCAGCATTCTGGCCTCACTAAAGGAACACAGGTATGGAATTGCTAGCTCAGTGTGACAGCATGAGAAACCAGAAGGCATCAGAAATTTGCCATCGGAGAATACAGATACACATAGAGTTACCAGATTTTTGAACAGGCAAAAGAGAAGATTGGCAATTGGAAAGAAGAACAAATGGAGGAAAGGAAAACAAGCTACCTGTTTAATATTTGTATTTATAGTCACAGGAGAAGAAGGGATTACAAGTAAATAGGAAGGCACACAATGAGTAATACAGCTTGAGAGGAATGTGCCAAGGCCATTTGGGAGACAAAAGCCTTCAGCACCTAACTGGTTAAATTTCAGGCAACAGCTCAAGCCAGCAGTAGGTTACTTAACTAATTAAGGTCACAGAGCATAGCTTGTTAATCTATGGTTAGCACTTTTTCTGGAAGTGCTACACCTCAGAGGAAAGGAGCTCAGGAAGAGATAAGCTTGTTAAATACTCAAAAATTTAAACAAGATTTTCTTTTAAGGCCATGCCTGGATGGAGTTTTGATAACCCTGGATGCACAGGAATATTTACTACTTTGTTTTAAAAACAAAGTTTGAAGAGATGTATGCTTAGTTCTGATTAGTTCCCGATTACGTAGTCAGAAATGGTCTAGCAACTGATGGGCTGGTTTTGCT